CGCATGGCACGGCATGAAGGTGCGCGCATGGCACGGCATGAAGGTGCGCGCATGGCACGGCATGAAGGTGCGCGCATGGCACGGCATGAAGGTGCGCGCATGGCACGGCATGAAGGTGCGCGCATGGCACGGCATGAAGGTGCGCGCATGGCACGGCATGAAGGTGCGCGCATGGCACGGCATGAAGGTGCGCGCATGGCACGGCATGAAGGTGCGCGCATGGCACGGCATGAAGGTGCGCGCATGGCACGGCATGAAGGTGCGCGCATGGCACGGCATGAAGGTGCGCGCATGGCACGGCATGAAGGTGCGCGCATGGCACGGCATGAAGGTGCGCGCATGGCACGGCATGAAGGTGCGCGCATGGCACGGCATGAAGGTGCGCGCATGGCACGGCATGAAGGTGCGCGCATGGCACGGCATGAAGGTGCGCGCATGGCACGGCATGAAGGTGCGCGCATGGCACGGCATGAAGGTGCGTGCATGGCACGGCATGAAGGTGCGTGCATGGCACGGCATGAAGGTGCGTGCATGGCACGGCATGAAGGTGCGGTGCGTGCATGGCACGGCATGAAGGTGCGTGCATGGCACGGCATGAAGGTGCGCTGCATGGCACGGCATGAAGGTGCGCGCATGGCACGGCATGAAGGTGCGCGCATGGCACGGCATGAAGGTGCGCGCATGGCACGGCATGAAGGTGCGCGCATGGCACGGCATGAAGGTGCGCGCATGGCACGGCATGAAGGTGCGCGCATGGCACGGCATGAAGGTGCGCGCATGGCACGGCATGAAGGTGCGCGCATGGCACGGCATGAAGGTGCGCGCATGGCACGGCATGAAGGTGCGCGCATGGCACGGCATGAAGGTGCGCGCATGGCACGGCATGAAGGTGCGCGCATGGCACGGCATGAAGGTGCGCGCATGGCACGGCATGAAGGTGCGCGCATGGCACGGCATGAAGGTGCGCGCATGGCACGGCATGAAGGTGCGCGCATGGCACGGCATGAAGGTGCGCGCATGGCACGGCATGAAGGTGCGCGCATGGCACGGCATGAAGGTGCGCGCATGGCACGGCATGAAGGTGCGCGCATGGCACGGCATGAAGGTGCGCGCATGGCACGGCATGAAGGTGCGCGCATGGCACGGCATGAAGGTGCGCGCATGGCACGGCATGAAGGTGCGCGCATGGCACGGCATGAAGGTGCGCGCATGGCACGGCATGAAGGTGCGCGCATGGCACGGCATGAAGGTGCGCGCATGGCACGGCATGAAGGTGCGCGCATGGCACGGCATGAAGGTGCGCGCATGGCACGGCATGAAGGTGCGCGCATGGCACGGCATGAAGGTGCGCGCATGGCACGGCATGAAGGTGCGCGCATGGCACGGCATGAAGGTGCGCGCATGGCACGGCATGAAGGTGCGCGCATGGCACGGCATGAAGGTGCGCGCATGGCACGGCATGAAGGTGCGCGCATGGCACGGCATGAAGGTGCGCGCATGGCACGGCATGAAGGTGCGCGCATGGCACGGCATGAAGGTGCGCGCATGGCACGGCATGAAGGTGCGCGCATGGCACGGCATGAAGGTGCGCGCATGGCACGGCATGAAGGTGCGCGCATGGCACGGCATGAAGGTGCGCGCATGGCACGGCATGAAGGTGCGCGCATGGCACGGCATGAAGGTGCGCGCATGGCACGGCATGAAGGTGCGCGCATGGCACGGCATGAAGGTGCGCGCATGGCACGGCATGAAGGTGCGCGCATGGCACGGCATGAAGGTGCGCGCATGGCACGGCATGAAGGTGCGCGCATGGCACGGCATGAAGGTGCGCGCATGGCACGGCATGAAGGTGCGCGCATGGCACGGCATGAAGGTGCGCGCATGGCACGGCATGAAGGTGCGCGCATGGCACGGCATGAAGGTGCGCGCATGGCACGGCATGAAGGTGCGCGCATGGCACGGCATGAAGGTGCGCGCATGGCACGGCATGAAGGTGCGCGCATGGCACGGCATGAAGGTGCGCGCATGGCACGGCATGAAGGTGCGCGCATGGCACGGCATGAAGGTGCGCGCATGGCACGGCATGAAGGTGCGCGCATGGCACGGCATGAAGGTGCGCGCATGGCACGGCATGAAGGTGCGCGCATGGCACGGCATGAAGGTGCGCGCATGGCACGGCATGAAGGTGCGCGCATGGCACGGCATGAAGGTGCGCGCATGGCACGGCATGAAGGTGCGCGCATGGCACGGCATGAAGGTGCGCGCATGGCACGGCATGAAGGTGCGCGCATGGCACGGCATGAAGGTGCGCGCATGGCACGGCATGAAGGTGCGCGCATGGCACGGCATGAAGGTGCGCGCATGGCACGGCATGAAGGTGCGCGCATGGCACGGCATGAAGGTGCGCGCATGGCACGGCATGAAGGTGCGCGCATGGCACGGCATGAAGGTGCGCGCATGGCACGGCATGAAGGTGCGCGCATGGCACGGCATGAAGGTGCGCGCATGGCACGGCATGAAGGTGCGCGCATGGCACGGCATGAAGGTGCGCGCATGGCACGGCATGAAGGTGCGCGCATGGCACGGCATGAAGGTGCGCGCATGGCACGGCATGAAGGTGCGCGCATGGCACGGCATGAAGGTGCGCGCATGGCACGGCATGAAGGTGCGCGCATGGCACGGCATGAAGGTGCGCGCATGGCACGGCATGAAGGTGCGCGCATGGCACGGCATGAAGGTGCGCGCATGGCACGGCATGAAGGTGCGCGCATGGCACGGCATGAAGGTGCGCGCATGGCACGGCATGAAGGTGCGCGCATGGCACGGCATGAAGGTGCGCGCATGGCACGGCATGAAGGTGCGCGCATGGCACGGCATGAAGGTGCGCGCATGGCACGGCATGAAGGTGCGCGCATGGCACGGCATGAAGGTGCGCGCATGGCACGGCATGAAGGTGCGCGCATGGCACGGCATGAAGGTGCGCGCATGGCACGGCATGAAGGTGCGCGCATGGCACGGCATGAAGGTGCGCGCATGGCACGGCATGAAGGTGCGCGCATGGCACGGCATGAAGGTGCGCGCATGGCACGGCATGAAGGTGCGCGCATGGCACGGCATGAAGGTGCGCGCATGGCACGGCATGAAGGTGCGCGCATGGCACGGCATGAAGGTGCGCGCATGGCACGGCATGAAGGTGCGCGCATGGCACGGCATGAAGGTGCGCGCATGGCACGGCATGAAGGTGCGCGCATGGCACGGCATGAAGGTGCGCGCATGGCACGGCATGAAGGTGCGCGCATGGCACGGCATGAAGGTGCGCGCATGGCACGGCATGAAGGTGCGCGCATGGCACGGCATGAAGGTGCGCGCATGGCACGGCATGAAGGTGCGCGCATGGCACGGCATGAAGGTGCGCGCATGGCACGGCATGAAGGTGCGCGCATGGCACGGCATGAAGGTGCGCGCATGGCACGGCATGAAGGTGCGCGCATGGCACGGCATGAAGGTGCGCGCATGGCACGGCATGAAGGTGCGCGCATGGCACGGCATGAAGGTGCGCGCATGGCACGGCATGAAGGTGCGCGCATGGCACGGCATGAAGGTGCGCGCATGGCACGGCATGAAGGTGCGCGCATGGCACGGCATGAAGGTGCGCGCATGGCACGGCATGAAGGTGCGCGCATGGCACGGCATGAAGGTGCGCGCATGGCACGGCATGAAGGTGCGCGCATGGCACGGCATGAAGGTGCGCGCATGGCACGGCATGAAGGTGCGCGCATGGCACGGCATGAAGGTGCGCGCATGGCACGGCATGAAGGTGCGCGCATGGCACGGCATGAAGGTGCGCGCATGGCACGGCATGAAGGTGCGCGCATGGCACGGCATGAAGGTGCGCGCATGGCACGGCATGAAGGTGCGCGCATGGCACGGCATGAAGGTGCGCGCATGGCACGGCATGAAGGTGCGCGCATGGCACGGCATGAAGGTGCGCGCATGGCACGGCATGAAGGTGCGCGCATGGCACGGCATGAAGGTGCGCGCATGGCACGGCATGAAGGTGCGCGCATGGCACGGCATGAAGGTGCGCGCATGGCACGGCATGAAGGTGCGCGCATGGCACGGCATGAAGGTGCGCGCATGGCACGGCATGAAGGTGCGCGCATGGCACGGCATGAAGGTGCGCGCATGGCACGGCATGAAGGTGCGCGCATGGCACGGCATGAAGGTGCGCGCATGGCACGGCATGAAGGTGCGCGCATGGCACGGCATGAAGGTGCGCGCATGGCACGGCATGAAGGTGCGCGCATGGCACGGCATGAAGGTGCGCGCATGGCACGGCATGAAGGTGCGCGCATGGCACGGCATGAAGGTGCGCGCATGGCACGGCATGAAGGTGCGCGCATGGCACGGCATGAAGGTGCGCGCATGGCACGGCATGAAGGTGCGCGCATGGCACGGCATGAAGGTGCGCGCATGGCACGGCATGAAGGTGCGCGCATGGCACGGCATGAAGGTGCGCGCATGGCACGGCATGAAGGTGCGCGCATGGCACGGCATGAAGGTGCGCGCATGGCACGGCATGAAGGTGCGCGCATGGCACGGCATGAAGGTGCGCGCATGGCACGGCATGAAGGTGCGCGCATGGCACGGCATGAAGGTGCGCGCATGGCACGGCATGAAGGTGCGCGCATGGCACGGCATGAAGGTGCGCGCATGGCACGGCATGAAGGTGCGCGCATGGCACGGCATGAAGGTGCGCGCATGGCACGGCATGAAGGTGCGCGCATGGCACATGTTTGGCGTCCACTCCATTCTGGGTGCTTATGTCGATGGTTAAATTAATTACATCATATTGCGTTCTTGTCTTTAACTAGTGATATTACGACAACCTGAGGTCCTTGGCAGGGGGATTCAATTCTGCTTGTCACACCATGTTTGACCACTCACGCTACCTTTTCAACCCCTCTCCCCTCACCCTCACCCGCCATGCGTGGCACCAGCTGCACGACAAGCTAGCAGCATACGCGTCTGACGCAGAGAAGGAGAAGCTGCTGGCGCGGCTGCAGGAGACGGAGGACTGGCTGTATGAGGACGGCGAGAGCGAGAGCAAGGGCGTGTACACCACGCGCCTGGAGGAGCTCAAGCGCCTCGGCGACCCCATTGAGGCGCGCCTCCGGGAGGAAGAGACGCGCCCCGCCGCCCTGCAGTCACTGCAGTACTGCATCGGAAGCTTCCGGGAGGCTGCGCTGTCCACGGATGCGATGTACGCGCACATCGACCCGAAGGAGAAGGCTCAGGTGCGTGCAGAGCAGAGGAGGGATGGGGTTGTTTGTGTGTTGGGGCCCTTCAAGCAGGCACGCAGGGAGGGAGGGATGAAAGATGTGTGCTGGCGTTTGGGTGGTGTTCGTTGTGAGTGGGGAGATAGGGCGACAAGGGAGATGGCGGGGGATTTTAAAAGTGAAGGTCAGGTTCCTCAAAATGAAACTTCACGGAAAGAGAATGAATGAATGGGAAGTTATCATGGTCAAAATCGTGTGCCGCTCCTCTCTCTCACCTCCTCCTACCTCACTTGCTTTATCTACGTCCTTCCCCACGTGCCGCACACAGGTGGTGGAGGAGTGCAACAAGGCGGAGATGTGGCTGAGGGACATGCTCTTCCAGCAGCAGAAGCTGAGCAAGAAGGACACCCCCGTGCTGCTCGCTGCCGACCTACGGAAGAAGGCAGAGACCCTCGACAGGTGGGCATGGGAGCAGTCATGTGCCATTAGCTTGTCTGGGATTTGGCTGTGCTTTGTGGCTTGTGTGCAGATTCTTGCTGCTGCCATGGCTGACTTATCTTCATTGTATGTGTTGCGTTGCCTTTTGCTTTGTGTGTCTCTTGCTGGCAGGTTCTGCAAGCCTATTATGACCAAACCCAAACCAGCTCCCAAGCCTGCTTCCGAGCCCAAGCCCGAGCCTGCTCCCGAGGCTCCTAAGGCAGGTGGTGAGCCGATGGAGACGGAGGGGGCTGCAGGAGAGGGTGCCGCAGCGGCAGGTGGCGAGGCGGCAGCTGGAGATGCTAAACCTGCTGAGGGCGAGGCCATGCAAACAGAGTAGAGCGTCAATGGAGAATGGTAGAGTACGGTACCATAGTTTTGGAGCCAGGTATAGATTTGTTTCCCCCCACGTTTGAAGCGGGGCATGCAGATTTGCAATGGGTTTGTTAGTCTCCTGTACCAAACTTTACAGTGCGCTCTTGGGCGCGTTTGGACTGACCAGTCACCAGGGGCTTGAAGACGCGTCCGACTGCACAATGGAGCCGTTGTAATGCACCAAGCTGAACCACTTGATTAATGAATTTCTGACACTGCCATCGATGAAAGATGCTCCAATGATTTTTTTTTTTGGGCCCCTATCCGTTGTCTCTAAGATGAACAGAAGAGAATTCCTACAAAAGGATAGGGCCCATATGCGTGTCAGCAGTTCGACCTCTATCGGAGCACCCTTGCCAGTCTGGAAAATTGCTTGTGTAGGCGGCGATCCCAAGGCTCAACAATTCAATCTCCAACTTCATCTGTCCTACCTGTTCTGCTCTTGATCTACTAACGGTTGTCATGGCAGCACCAGTCTAGGAATAGTCTGTTCGCGATGTCGACATCATAGCCGTTGTAATCCGTGTCTCCGTCTGGTCCTTGGAACCCAACCCCCTTTCGCGCGCTTCCGGGTAGTCAGATTTCACGAGTAGTTGAAACAACTGATCATACCCCCATTAAGCATCGTCCCGCAGGCTGCCAGCCATGTCCTTCTCCATGGATTTCCGCTCGCTGGGCCGAGACCTTGCCCTCGCGTCGCAGAGCGCGGTCGGCTCGTCCAAGGACTTTCTGGACCTAGTTAAAGCCATAGGAGAGGCTAAGTCGAAGGCGGAGGAGGATAGGATTATGGCAGGGGAGCTGGAGCTGCTTAAAAAGAAGATATCTGAGCCAGACGTGCCTAAGAAGCGAATGAAAGAGTACATCCTTCGTCTCATGTATCTCGAGATCCTGGGCCACGATGCGTCGTTCGGTTACATCCACGCCGTGAAGATGACACACGACGACAACCTTCTGTTGAAACGCACGGGTTATCTCGCGTGTACGCTTTTCCTGGACGACTCGCACGATTTGATCATCTTGATAGTCAACACGATTCAGAAGGATCTTAAATCCGATAATTACCTCGTCGTATGCGCGGCGTTAGGAGCCGTCTGCAAATTAATCAACGAGGAAACCATTCCGGCGGTCTTGAACCCAATAGTAGACCTCCTTAAGCATCCCAAGGAGCTGGTCCGGAAGAAGGCGGTGATGGCGCTACAACGCTTCCACCAGCGATCGCCGTCCAGCGTGTCGCACGTGACGGAGAAGTTTCGCCAGGCGCTGTGCGACAAGGACCCGAGCGTGATGAGCGCGTCGCTGTGCGGTCTGCACGACCTGATCGCGGCGGACCCCGCGCCGTACCGCAACCTGACGGCGTCGTTCCTGAGCATCCTGAAGCAGGTCGCCGAGGGCCGTCTGCCCAAGTCCTTCGACTACCACCGCGTGCCCGCGCCCTTCATCCAGGTTGGCACCCCAACTCCCTACCCCCATGGGCCATCTCAACGGTCATCAACTTCTACTGTTGCTCCAGCTTCCCCCAGTCCCCTCCGTGCATGCATCGAGCGACAGCTATTGCACCTCCGGTCCTTGGACGAGTGCAACTGCTGGAAGGCAACGCCTTTGTGTGTCCCCACTCTGACCTCATCAGTCCCTTCTCGCCTTCACCGCACCCCGTGGTCCCCCCGGCGTCACGCAGATAAAGCTGCTGAAGCTGCTGGCGCTGCTGGGCGCCAACAACCAGGCGGCCAGCGAGCCCATGTACCCCGTCATCGCTGACGTCATCAGGCGCATCAGCGAGTCGCAGCCCAAGGCGGGGACGACGGGTCGGCGGGACGACTCGCAGGTGACAGCTGGCAACGCGATCCTGTACGAGGCGATCCGCACGGTGGCTGCAATTCACCCGAGCGAGCAGCTGCTGGCGTCGTGCGCCGCCATCACCTCCTCCTTCCTCAAGGTGCCCCGCCTGCCTGCTCTCCCTCGCTCCTCCTCCCTCCCCATCCCAACCCCTTTCTCTTTCATCGCTCGTTCCCGCCCCGCGTACCTTCCCTCCTTTCCCTTACCACACACCCCAATGCATCCTCATTTCGTGTGAAGCAGCAAGGGCAAGGTTGTAAGCGCTCTGCCATCTGACCTCTTCCCACCATTTCTGTGCCCCACTCCTCCCACGTACTTCCCGTGCGCACCACCCCTGCCATCTTCGTCTCCCACGCTCCACCCCACGCCCTCCCCACTCTCTGTCACCCATGCAGAGCAGCGTGCACAACCTGCGGTACATGGGCGTGGACTGCCTGGCGCAGATCGTGCGCATCAACCCCGACCTGGCCACGGAGCACCAGATCGCCGTCATTGACTGCCTTGAAGACCCTGACGACTCACTAAAGCGCAAAACACTTGATCTCCTTTACAAGATGACGGGCCCGGGGAACGTGGAGGTGATAGTGGAGCACGTGCTGCAGTACCTGCGCGGGCTGCGGTCGGGGGATGATGCGCACGCGCATGGGCGCGCTGACCTGGCGGCGAGGATTGTTGAGCTGGCGGAGAGATTTGCGCCGTCCAATGAGTGGTTCATTCAGGTGAGGGGGTTGTGGGGGATTGAGTGGGGAATGCGGTGGAGGATGGTGGGAGGCATGTAAGGGGTGGAGTGGGGGAGGTCGAGGCACATGCTACTACAGTCATTTCATCATCTCCTAATGTCTTCACACCATTCTGCACCATTCTCACTGTCTCTGTTGGTCCTCCTCCCTTTCCCCCCCTTCCTCTCCCCCCTCCACCTCCCGCGCCCTCCTTCACACCTTTCCACGGGCAGACGATGAACAGTGTGTTTGAGGTGGCGGGGGACGTGGTGCGCCCCAAGGTGGCGCACGACCTCATGCGCCTCATTGCTGAGGGATCGGGCGGTGACAACGACGACGCCGACTCGCGCCTGCGCTCCTCCGCTGTGGGTGCCCATGCCATCTCGCCCTTGCATCGCAACGCAAACACAGTAATTCCAACATGATTTCTTGTTTGTTTGGTGGTTTGTTCTGCATCTTGTAGGTGTGACGTGTCTTCCACATGACCTACCTGTCTCCTCATCCACCATCCGATCCTTTCCGCCCTTTCGCCATCATCCCATGGCCACACACAGGTGCAATCATACGTGAAGCTGCTCAAGGAACCGAACCTGCCCACGCTGCTGCTCCAGGTGCCCGCTCTTCTGCCACTCCGTGCTTGCTCCTCGTTCTTGCCTTGCGTCTTTCCAGCACACACTCTTTTGCTCACTCTTCTTTCATGTTCCCCTTCGTTCCCTGACTCACTGCTTGCACCCGGCAGGTCATATGCTGGGTGTTGGGGGAGTATGCCACGTCAGACGGCCACATGTCAGCGGATGAAGTTATGGCAAAGCTGTGTGACGTGGCAGAGGGCCATGACACCGACGACACTGTCCGGGTGCGTGATGTCATCCTTACTTCATCAAACACGCTCTTTTACTCTCTAGTCACATCCCCTTTGCTTCCTCCCTCTCTGCTGCAGCATGGGATGTCGTATCTTTCACAATCAAGGTCTAAAGTGAACCGATTATGCGACACCGATATTGCTGCCCTCGCTTGAGATGCACACGCTACCGGCCCCCCTCTCACCGCCCCACTGCTTCTCCCAGGCGTACGTGCTATCAGCCATGGCAAAGGTGGTGGCGTATGAGGCGGCGTGCGGGCGGCAGGCACGGCTGTCGGGGGAGGCGGGGGCGCTGGTGGAGGAGATGGTGGCGGCGCACAGCACGGACGTGCAGCACCGCGCCTACCAGCTGCAGGCACTGCTCGCCCTTCGCCCCGACACCCTCGCTGCCGTGCTGCCCGTCGATGCTAGCTGTGAAGACATTGAGGTGTGATGTTAGGGGCGTTTAGGGGCTATGCAGTGCTAGTTGCTAAGCATGCATGTGCACAACAAGGGAATTTGATGCGTTTTTGTTCTGTTTTTTTTTTTTTTTCCAGGTCCTGCATGCTCATCGTTTCCATCCATGCGTGACCCTGCCCCTCGCTTCTTTGTCTGTCTGTCCAGATCGACCCGGCGCTGCCCTTCCTGGACCAATATGTGGCGGACTCGCTGGCAGCGGGGGCGCGCCCCTACCTCTCGGAGTCGGACCGCCTCAACTTCTCCGTGGGTGCAGATGCCACCTCCCTCGCCTCCTCCCTGTACGACTCCTCTGCATCTGCTGCCGCGCGCCACTCAGACCGCACGCTGCGCTTTGAGGCATACGAGCAGCCCAAGCTGCCCGCCGCACCCCTCACTGCCTCACAGCGTGGCGGCACCGGTGGCGGTGCGTTCTCCTCCTCTGCTGCTGCCTATTCGTCCGCGAATCCTCCTCCTGCCCTCTCTGCTACTTCGTCTGGAGGGTTCCGGGAGTCGTCCGGTGGGGCCTATGGGGGAGGGGAGGCGAGCAGCGGCGGTGGGGGAGGTGCAGCAGATGGTGCTAGGCTGAACCTCTCAGGCGTGCAACGGAAGTGGGGCCGTCCTGCTGCGTCCCCTCCGTCTGCTGCTCCTTCTTCTTCCGCTCCTGCAGGACCTTCTGCTGACTCATTTTCTATCCGTGCTGACTCATCTGCTTCAGCAGCAGGAGCAGGGGTTGCAGCATCAGGCGCAACCGCAGGGAGAGGGGGGAGAGCGAGTGAGAGCAGTCAAGTGAGCGAGGAGAAGCAGAGGCTGGCAGCGAAGCTGTTTGGGGGCAAGGGAGCAGCAGGTGGGGGTGCAGCCGCTTCATCTGGCCTGGCAGGGACGAGGTCTGAGCCAAGAACGGTGGGGGCAGGAGGGCCGTGGGGCAAACGAGGGTCTGGAGGAGCAGCAGAGGGCGCTGCAGCAGATGGTGCTGCTTCCAGTGCTCCTGCACCCCCTCCTGCCCCTGCTGCCCCCGTGGCTGACCTGTTGCTGATGGATCTCAATGATGACCCGCCCCCAGCGAACATGGCATCCATGCTTGACAGCTCAGCAGCAGCCCCTGCCAGTACAGCTGGTACTGCTTCATTGGACCCTTTCAAGGCTCTGGAGGAGCTGACAGTGATGCCAGCTGGTGAACCGCTATTGGCTGAGATCAGCATGAGTGGCGGTTCGTCTGCCAGCATGAGCTCAACAGCCACTGCATCTCCTGCACCTGCACTCTCTGGTGCGGTTGGTGCTGCGGATAAGTCAGCGAACGGAGCAGCCATCGGTGGGGCGGTGGCCATTGGTGGGCGAACAGCAGTGGGTGCTGCAGCTGCAGCAGGTGCAACAGCCAAGGGCCGAGATGCTGCTGCTCGCAGAGTTGGAGTGGTCACTCCAGAGTCGGGCGCAAACCCTGAACTGTTCAAGGACCTGTTTTGATCAAGAAACGCTAATGAAGGTTTCGAGAAGGTTTTCCCTTCGTATCGTTGTAGGCCCATGATTTGAGAGAACACTCAAGTAAAATAGGCTGGCTCGTGGGCCGTTGAGGCTGAATGTTCTTAAGCCATGTATCAAGTGACAACTCTTGCCGCTGGTTCTTGTATGAATTTAGCAGTAGCTGGTGGATGGTGTTGCAAAATCTCTCGTGAAAGCACATTCAGTTGAGATTGATACAATCTTTCAGATTTGTTCCTCAAATGCACTCCTACCGGTACCGGTACGGTATGTTTGCTCCATGCCTGGGAAATATGTCCCTGCCTGGGGAAGTTTTGCAACAAGTCATTGTAAGGCCATCGGTGAGAGAGCACACCTGTTTCCATGGCAATGGACACTATCTTGGTGAAAAGAGCATCAGATTAACAAAAACCTAGATAAGAAAGGTGTTCCGAGAATTGAACTCATGACCTTTCGCACCCCAAGCGAGAATCATTCCACTAGACCAAACACCCACGCATCTTAGGTCTTTGTAAATTAATCATTAAAATAATCGCGTGAATTTTACGTCAGAGCAGTTACAACTGGTTGCAAGAACTTCCAGTCACCTTAGGACGAGTGCTTAGTGTTGAAGGCGGTGAAACAGCAGGCCTTTCGTCAAGATTCTCCTTTGGTTGCTACGTGTGGTTAAGACGCAGTTGGTTATATTATACTCGCCTTATCTCCCCTGCTGAACGATGTGATGGGCGAAGACATGCACGATCATGCGAAACATAACTTCATGATTGTCCGTTCTTGCATCTACGTACGTATAACTAATTTGACTACTAAATCAAGGAATTTGAAGACAAGACGGACTAGCAATGAAAGAGTTTCAGGATGTGGAGGAACAAGATGGATGGAGGGATGGGAGGGAAGAGAAATGGAGGGAGGGAAGGAGGAAAGAAGGAAGTGAAGGAGGTGAAATTGTCACCAAGGCGACCACGTCGCGGTGGAGGGTATGTGCTTCGAGATCCTCGCGTAACATGTGAGGAAGTCCAGCGTGGCTGCCCTGTCAGCGAAGTAGCTGCCTGCCTACCCTCAGATCAACATTTACGAATGGTATCTGGGCGTTGGAATCCAAGATGGATGGAAGGATTGTTATTGGTTGAAAACGAACTTTCACATGAATGGTTGTGCGCCTGTCCAGCATGCGTCTGGTGCTGACGAAACAGATCTTCAACGTGAGGCTTCTCGATGTTCCACCAGCAGAAGTTTTTCAGTAATGGGCAGCCTGCAAACCGCCAGACCACTGATTCGTCAAAGAATACTTTTCTTCCTGACCATCCACGCCTAAACATGTCTCAAAAAACAATTTCTTCGTGTCGCAACACAACCCTCGATATTTTCCGCACACCACAATCCGTCATTCTCCCAACTTCGAGGAGTCCAACACTCAAGTGTGCTCTGCTGTGCTCCCTCTAACCCCTCCCCTCCACGCCCGTCTTCCATCACCATCTCATGGCGTCCCTCTACTCTCCTGATCGTTTGGATCTGTTCCCAAGGGCCGTGGTGGACTAGCTTCAGTTCAGGCAATCATTTGGGAGGAATATCTTTCCCGAAAAAACACATCGCTGCTTCAGTGTTTGGTCCGATCGGCCTGACGAAACAGCAACTGCTCACTTAGGGTTGTTCCGTGGTACCTGTGTACGTCGAAGTTAGGATTTTAGGACCTTGGATGCTAGGAATGATGGGTGTTTGTTAGGTGCTATAGACTGACTGCACAGCCAAGTTCAATGGCTGCACTTACTAACAATACTTCGTTGATAGACAAAACGGTTGTAGGATCTAAGAAGCTCTCCAACCTTTCCCGATCAGCCAGCTCTCGAGATAGAGCTCAGCAAAGGTTTCGCCCCGATACGCTAGTGTCAATTAATGGAGGCGATAAGCGTGGATTCAGATCCAGCAAAAGCCTCACAGTGAAGGCCAGCTTTTCTGGGTCTCGATCCTCGCAAAGGTAAGTGTGGGCCCCTGGTTTTTTGTCCGTTCGAGCCAGTGGTCATGCAATAGCTCTCATTGGTCCAGTTTCCCGTGACAACTAAGCGGGCATTCGCGCATGAATCGCAGGTGGCAGAAAGGCGGAGCGCAATCAGACAACGAACACTCGAAGCACTTCCTTCGCCAGTGCGCACCCAATCCCCGAGACGTCCCCCCACGTAGAGGTCTGTTCCAGAGCACCTCGTAAAGTTCTCTGCTTACATCCACCTTCGGGATGCGTCGTTCGTTTCATGCACATTCGCGACTAGCACGTTTCTCAAAATGAACTGTTCCATGATCTGCGTGCTTTGCAGCTGCGCCGCCTGCTGGCGGCTGGCGGGAAGACACTGGAATAGCCAGTGAAAAGGACTGGGGCATAGATCTGAAGAGCCAACCAGTGAACGAATGCGGCATAAACGAGGATGGCAGCACGTGGTACAGAGAGAGCGGAGAGGACATGGGGGACAATGGCTATCGGTGCCGATGGACCATCATGGGTGGACGACACCCCAACGGGGCGTCCGAGTGGAAGGAAACTGTAAGCTTGCATATCGCATCGCCTCTCTATTCAATCTAATCTCTTCCCGGGACACGTTGGCACGTTTAAAACCTCTGCAGTGTCCCTTGTTGAAGCGCTGAGAACGTTTCAAGGTCGCATCCGTTTCTAAGACCTATTTCTCCATTTGTGCTCTCTCTATCTCCTTGATCGCCGTGGGACGGGATCGCGGCGGGGCGCAGTGGTGGGAGAAGAGCGACTGGACGGGGTACAAGGAGCTGGGCGCGGAGAAGTCGGGCAGAAACGATCAAGGAGATAGCTGGTGGGAGACGTGGCAAGAAGTATACGTTGTGGATAACTGGAGGTAATTTGCCGCGCGCTCTGAGTGCACAGATACCTGTTTTGTTGCACATCCGACCCACCCACCCACCGTTGCCGTTTCGTTTTCGCTGTTTCGTCGTTGCCGTTCTCATTTGCTCTCTAGTCAATCATGTCAGCCTCTCGGCCCTCATTCGATCCTCCCTCGCTCTTCTCGCCCGTGTGCTCTCCCCTGATGATTTGGCGCCTCTGCAGCGGCATTCCGAGAATAGAAAGAAGCGCGCATAAACAAGCCAAATCAAGACAAGAAAACGTCTGGAATGAAAAATGGTGAGTCGTGATCCTTTTGTAGTCTCCAAGGACGATGTCGTATCGAATCGTAAGATTGCCCTGCCGTTTTACGCAAGAAGCGATGACAATTCCGCTTTTCCCCGCGTGCAGTGCGGATCACGTGCTGCACAGTGGGCTCATTCCCCTCGTCATCGTTTGCTGTGGCGCCCCCTCTGGTTGGCAGGTGGGAGAAGTACAACGGTAAGGGGTGGACGGAGAAGGGGTCGCACAAGTACGGCCGGTCCAACGACCAGTCGTGGTGGGAGAAGTGGGGCGAGCAGTACGACGGCCAGGGCATGGTGCTCAAATGGTGAGACCCTCCTGCTCTCGCGGTGAGAGCCTCGTGCCCGCCCACTCACGAATGTTAGGAGTTCTTGCAAGTACACGAGTGCACAGAGCTCCTTCTGCGAATCCGCAGACTATGATCCTTGTTAACAAGCGTAGGGAGGCAACTGAACTGACACACAAGGAAACAAATACTAGATTGCATGAGCACCGCCATAAGCAGGTCGTCACACGCCTTTGGCTTATCCAGGGCTCCCCCTCTCGTCCACCCGCCGCTCTCTCTCCCTCCCTCCCTTGCTCCCACCCTCCCTTCCCCGCCTCCCTCTCTTTCGCTCCTTATCCTGGCCCGTTCCACGACCTATACACACTCTCTCTCTCTCTCTCTCGCACCACGCTCACACCACTGGTACCGACCGCTTCTCACGTCCACACTATGCTTGGTGCTCTTGCACCGCTTCCTTGCACGCGTGGCACTTGCGTCCCGCGACTAGCATGCGTGTTGGCACGAGCATGACCACTTCCATCCACACACTCTGTGCCGTCGCGTGCATGCGCCTAACGACCGTGCTGTACCTCGCTGTGCTGCACTGCACCATGTGCAGGACGGACAAGTGGGCGGAGAAGGATGACGGCACCAAGTGGGGCGACAAGTGGGAGGAACGGTTCACATCGGGTGTGGGGCACAGACAAGGGGAGACCTGGCACGTGGAGAACTCAGGCTCCCGTAAGTGCATGCCCGCTTGCTCGGGGTCTTTAGCCGCTTAGTGCTCGTGTGGACCTGCTGCCGATTGGCCCCCTTGCTCATTGCAATATATGTTGATTGTTTGACGATGCATCCTCAAGGACACAGTGCGAGCTCCTATTGATGATGGTGGGGATGATGTAATTGAGTTTTCACACAATGCAGCTCTCCAGAGAGCACACTTCCAGCTGTAGTCACATCCCCGCACGTAACTCACAAGTTCCCTTTCCCTTGTCACGGTGTTTTGTGTGGCTGTGCAGGCTGGTCAAGAACATGGGGCGAGGAGCACTTTGGGGATGGGTAAGATTGTGTGCATCTCATTCAGTTTAGTATGTGCACTACATGTGCTCATGCGCTCATGTGTCAGTGACATATTATGTTTATTCCCGTGTTCGAAACTCATGTGTTCCTCTCCCCAATGCGTGCCGCTGGCTGCAGGATGGTGCACAAGTATGGGAGGAGCACGAGCGGTGAACAGTGGGATGTGGTGGTGGCTGAGCCAACATACTATGAGTAAGCACGTCCTTCCATCACCTCACATGCACCCGTGCATAGCACACCATCATGTGCACACGTGCAGATGTCTCATTGTGGATGTGTGATGCTGTGGAACTGGCTCCTCCTTGTCTGTGCTCTCATTGAGACCCTGTGCTTGGATGTGATGGGGTGTTGTTCATGGCAGGGGGAAGCCACACTACGGCTGGGATGAAGCTGTGGCCAACTCCTCACAACTGCTATCCATTGAGATCAGGGACCGCACAGAACCCAGTGCATTTGGAGACTACGGGCGATCACAAGGCATAAACCCAGCAGTTCAAGACGATTACCCTCACAATGGCAGACCACCCATGTATGACAGTTCCTCGTGAAGGTTTAGGCGGCTTGCGAATACAGTATGGCTTATCAGGTATTCTCCATTGCTCGAGTTTACAGAATGCAGTGGAGTCCAGGTTTAGTTCTCATCTTGAGCCAGAAATACACTGTCGTGGCGATTCTTGGAATTATTTCTATTATTGGAGCATAACAGGTTAGGAATCATCTGGCCTCCTTGTATACCAGCCACGGTGTAAGGACAGCGAATTATAATGTATACTGTACACTAGTTCTAGTGATCGAGCTGTACCGTCACGTTTAAACGGGGAACCCTCAATGCGATAACTGCGTGGTCTCAATGTTTCTCCCAGCCTTAGGGAGCATTCGACCTCTCCGTGTGAGCCTCAAGCTAACTCAACCCCACAGCAGCGTCGGGCTTGGTTGTGTGCAGAACAGAGGCCTTCCGTCGCTGCTGACAGCGATGTCCTCTTAATCGTAGGACTAAGCCATGTTCCGAGGCTGCCACGTGGGGACTGGCTGCAGATTAGCATCGGCCTCTGCTATGCTTGGAGCCGACCTTGGGGTTGCTACTGAGCAGAGCGGTCGCCCTACCAGCTGCACATAGGATATGTGGAACCGCTCTTATGCCGTTCAGTTGCCAAACGCAGATGCTAGTCATTGCCATATGAACTGAAATAAAGCTCTGGGTCTTGAACTTGGTTCTGCGACTGCGTTTTTCTCGCATGGAACTATTACCTGCTCGAATTATTCAAGCTCCAGGTTTCTCAGTCTGAGATCAATTTCGCATCGCAGGATTTATCTAATGGCTCCGAGACGAGGCACAGAGCATCACGGAGCTGCACCAGTAAAAACGATCCGGCAAATGTCATGTCGCTTCCAGATCCTTCTGCTCTGCGTGGTTCTTCTGTCAAGCTGTGTGCATGAGCATGCTGCTGTTAGCGGAGATTCCATTCCAGATGGTGCCGTCAGAGCAGCAAGAGATGCCATTCAGGCTCAGCTTGACCGCCTCAGCTTGTCTCTTCAGCACCATTCCCCCGTGCCAACCGGCATGTTCGCTGCTGACCTCACAATCATGCCACCCAACACTGCCACGTGGAAACTGAACTCCACTCAAGCGCGAGCCAGGCTGATGAAGTACCTGAAGCATTCTGAATTGAAAATATACTTCTCAATCTCAAAGCTACTGGTGGGTGTGGCTAACGTGGGGAAGATGCTCCTTGAAAACCAACAGGTGAAGAATCAGCAGCACAAGAAACAGCACAAGAGGTGGCACGTTGCACTATCACTTGTAGGGTACAGAGCTGTGTTCATGGATTCACAGGGACGATGTAGACAAAGCAGCATACAGGGTTCTGCCTTGGCTCTCTGGCTGAAAGTCCCGGTATGCCGTAAAGATGCGTACAAGAGAGCTCGGAAAGGGAATGTGATCCATGACAAGTGCGCCGCAGAAGCAGATGACCTGAGGGACGCACATGGCTCATGGCAAGTTGTGCTGGGGGGTTGGACGGCCTACGGTGGTGGTAACCATGCACTGGAATCCCACACCACAAGCAGAACCACTGGCGCTGAACGCAGCAGTGCCGTGCAACCTGCATTGAACACAGTGCTGCTGAGAACAGGCTTCTCAGGTGTGTCAAATGGCAAGGACCAGCCTCGCCCTCCCGCAGTATCACGAGTGAAGGAAGCGATTGAGCATGCCCTGGAGCTGATAGGTGACGCCCTGGCTGCTGGGGACAGTGCCAGTGCTGCAAGGCTCTTCTCCCCGCGTGCCATCATCATGCCACCTGACCAGCCCGAACGGCAGTTCCAGTTCTCGTTTCAGCTCCAGCAGTACCTCCAGGTGAGCCCCGTCCCCTGCTGCGTGCTCCTCAGTTCCTCCTGCGTGCTTCCCAGTCCCCATCGTGCCTCCACTGACATGACGTGTGACAATGGGCAGCCACTGGCGTCGCGTCATCTCCAATTCAGCTTCCACATGGAGGAAGTTGTGGATATTTTCACACCCAAGGACATGCTTGGTGGGGAAGCAGCCGTGGATGCACTTAGTGACGCAGCTAGCCAGGCGGACAAGGCTCTGAGCAGAGGACAGTTCACAGCCAAGAAAACTTCAGGTACGGCCATGCTCTGCTGCGTTGTTATTTTGCCCAGTGCAAGTGCGCTGATCATGCTCGTCTGGCACTGCATGGGTGCAGGCAGAGTGGTGCAGAGCGGCAAGTTCATCGCGCTGTGGGAGGTGGGCCCTGCAGGCAAGCCCTCCTGGGGTGTGGCAGCTGGAGCGAGTGCGGAGGAGCGCAGTGGGAGGGGCGAGGGACGAAGGGCGCTGGTGGAGGAACCTGTGGGCGGCAGTGGTGGGTTGCGTGACACTTTGCATGGGCGGCCGTCCCTGCCTGGTGCACGCATAGCCTGGCTCATGTGGACCCGCAACGCCCCCTCTCCTGCTCCTCCTCCGCCTCCGCCTACCCCTCCCACTCCCACTCCCACCTCACCACCTCCAATCCCTCCTCCACACCCCTCTCCATCTTCCCCTCCTCCATCCCCTCCTCCATTCCCCCCTACTCCATCCCCTCCCTCTTCCCCTCCTCCATCCCCTCCCTCCTCCCCTCCTCCACCCCCTCCCTCCTCCCCTCCTCCACCCCCTCCCTCCTCCCCTCCTCCATCCCCTCCATCTTCCCCTCCTCCATCCCCTCCCTCCTCCCCTCCTCCATTCCCCCCTCCTCCATCCCCTCCCTCTTCCCCTCCTCCATCCCCTCCCTCCTCCCCTCCTCCACCCCCTCCCTCCTCCCCTCCTCCATTCCCTCCATCTTCCCCTCCTCCATCCCCTCCCTCCTCCCCTCCTCCATCCCCTCCCTCTTCCCCTCCTCCATCCCCTCCCTCCTCCCCTCCTCCATCCCCTCCATCTTCCCCTCCTCCCTCCCCATCCCCACCGTCTCCTACTCCTCATCCTCCTCTGCCGCCTCCCAGTCCTCCTCCTCCCCCCTCTCCACCACCAAGTCACCCTCCCTCTCCCCACCCTTCCCCTCCTAAACCACCCCCTCCCTCTCCTCCGCATCCTCCCCCTTCACATCCCCCTCCTCCGCCTCCCCAGCCTCCTCAGCCTGTGGTGCGGCAGCAGCACATGGTGCGGTGTGGTGGACAACTTCAAACTGAATCCATGTTTCCATCCCCTTAGCAGCTATGTACTCTTGCTGAACGATGGCTGTGGGTGCTTGTGGAGGGCGTGATTCAGAAAGCAACTACGATTCATCAGCAGCTCATGGTCTCTTGCTGATGCGCGTCTCTGTTGATATCGTGATGTGCTGCACGCAAGTGAAAGGGGGGAGGTATGGGGGAGTACGGTATAAGAACCACATAGAGCATCTTGTGCAGGCAGGCAGTATGAAGGAAATGTACGGTATGCTAGTGCGAGTGGGACGCGCAGCAAGTACCTCGAGATGACCCTGGGCGGAGTAGTCAAAGCGAGAGACGATGGCCCTGTCGGCCTCCACAAGCCAGCCCGCCTTGAGGATCACCCCACCACTGGGCGTGGGTAGCACCCTCGACCACACGCCCTGCCATGGGGAGGCCGCACGGGCGATGGTCAAGCAGAGCATTGATTGGAATCAGAGGGCAGGTGGGTGCACCGATGGTGCCATGCTGCGTTGCTGCTATACAAGGGCGGCTGGGAAGGAGAAGTATTGACCTGCCCTGAGAGCCACCCGCAATCCCCATTGCTTGCAGCAAGCTACGCATTGCTGGCTGCAGCATGTGCTGTGAAGCTGACGTCAGGTGCAGTCGTCCTCTCACCGCACCGACACCTCCATTGCACTTTGTCGCTCACACACTTCTCTTACCTGAGGAAGCAGCACGGAACCTTCGTCTGTTAGCTCCCTGGTGACCTCCTCAGTGCCGGCCGGCTTCAGCTCCACCACCGCCCCCCGCCGCCCATACTCGTCGCCCTGCTCCGCGGGGGAGGAGGAGGGGGGTGGGAGGGGAGGGAAGGGTCATGAGGGCCCGGCAGAGTGAAGCACAATGCTAATCGTTGTCGGCTGGATGGGTTTGCCCTCCTCGGAGCTCCGTGGAAGGGAGGTTATGACGGAGACTGCACAGCAATGTGGTGTGGGGGGAAGGACAGTCAGAGGGGATGGCAGGGGGTGGGTGGGCAGGAAGGGAGGCAGTGCGATGGACGGACGAGATTCATTGTGTCCCACATGACATGTATGTCAAGCATATCTCTCGCTCACGGATCGCCCGTTCCATAAATTGTGTTCTTTCTTCTTCACCACTCTCGCCTCACTGCCCATCGGCTCTGCTCCGCACATCCCCCCACCTACCCGCCTCACACACACCATCTGCGCCATGCAGCGCGCCGAGCTCACCAGTTTGAGGTCGGCGCGCATGGCGGAGGCGAGCCAGCGCCCCTCCACGGCCTCGATGCCCACGGGCGGGCCCTCCGCGAACTCCGACGACTCGTTCGCGCCGTCGGGCTCGGCGCGCCACTGGCCCACCCACCGCTCGCGGAACAGCGTCATGCCCAGCAGCTGCGGCAGGTGCCCCTCGTCCCCCACCCCGCCCGCCGCCCCCTCGCCCTTCTGAAAACGCTGCACCACGCGCACGCGCACGCGCTCGGGCTTGCCGTCGGTCTGCGCGTCCGGGTTTTCCGCGACGAGGCAGTGCTCCAACTCGAAGAACTGCGACGCGTCGCCGCTGCCGCTGCCCTGCCGAACCACTACGTGAGCCGCGTTCACGCCAGGCTCGGAAGAAGGCTCGGAAACGGATTTCCCGGGCCAGGCGACGGCGTAGCAGCCGTCGTCGCGGAAGCCCAGCACGCCCGCCGCGTCCTGCCCGATCCCCGCCGCGCGCCGATCCACGCTGTAGCGCGACGCCGCGCCGCCGCCGCCGCCAAAGCCAAGCGACGGCAGGAAGCGCTCGGAGACGGTTTGGACTTCCCCGGTAGAAGCATCCGCGTTAGTGGAGCTGTGCGCTTGCCACGCGAAGAGCGCGAGGCCCCAGTCGCAAAAGGGCGGCGGAATGGCCTCCCTTGGGATCTCCGTCTCTATCCCGTCGGGGCAGAAGTCCGATGAGTACCCCGCCCATTCCCCGGTGATTGCGGCGGAAAACGCGGACCAGGTCTGCGGCAATTGCGCAGCTTCGACGGTCTGCACGGATGCCCTGGGCGCGGCGGGCGCGTGGCGGTGCTGGTTCACACGCGCGGATGGTCGGTGCGCGGGGAGGTGAAGGCGGTGTCGACGGGAGGAGGGCACGAAGGCCGCGGAGGAGGAGAGGCGGTCCGCGAAAAGGGCGGGCTTACTGTGGGTGGCGGAGGGCGAGCAGCGCGGTGCGATGGAGGCCGATAGGCCGCTGCGGAGCAGTAGAGAAGCCGCCATCGCCTACAGCGAGCTCGAATGCCGCTGCAAAGAAGCTATCGCTCACTGCAGATGATCGAGAACGGAGGCTCGAGGTATGGGACTGAAAGTCGAGATGTGCAGCACAAGAGTGAGTGTGAAGGATTTGAATATGTGCTGATGTGATCTTCAGCAATGCGACATTCCCAAGGTGGAAGGTGAATGCACTGCGCGGAACTGCGGCTCTAGATTGCGCGGGAATCATAAGAATGATGAGGGCATCCAATGTGGCATACTCTGTATGGCTTCACTGACGAGGCATGCACTCACAGGTTGATGTCCTCGTTAAAGGATGGTCAGCCCCCTTGTGAAAGTGTACACTAAGGCCTTTACGCGTAGCATAAGCTGCACTGAAATATTGCACCCCTCATGACCATTCATAAAGTTAACATAACGCGTCTGAACAAATACGACAAATAAGTGGAACCATGGCCGCAAGCATGTGCGCGCACGGCTTCATATGGTGAACATCTGAGCGGGCCATGCCTTCTTGCCCCCATCAGCGCCCACCGCCACCACCTCCACTGAAATGTCAATGCTGCGGTGCTTGCTGGCGCGCACCACACTCACCCTCCCCCTCACCTCCACCGCCGGCCTACCCTCCGACCCCACCGCTCCTGTTCCCAGTGGTGGGGTTTCTCCGATCAGCACTGCAGCCGTGGACTGTGCTGCAGGTGCGAGAGCAATGGGTTCGCGGAAGGTGAGGAGGGTTTGGGCCCAGTGGGTGGGCGTGCAGAAGGGCGACGTGGAGAGCAGCACTGGCTTGGCGGAGCAGAATCGGGCGGAGAAGGCCGTGTCAAACCACAGCGCCAGCCCGTAGCACAGCGCGGGGGAGGCGGAGGCAGGGGATGCTGGAGTTGCAGCGGCAGGGCTGTCAGCGGGAGCTGGCCCGGCAGCAGAGGAGGTGGGGAGGGTTGGAGTGATGCAGAATTCAGAGGTGAAGTCGAGGTCCGGCACTGCCACAGTGCACAGGTCAAAGTGCTGCCACGGAAGGGCGGGAAGGACGGGGGAGGTAGATGGGGGGAAACGTAAGGGATGGGCGGAGAGGATGAGGTTCAGGGGAGAAGAGGCAGGGGGGACAGCAGAGGGAGGTGAAGGACGAGAGATACAAGGGGTGACCTGGGAGAGGAGGCACACGCATGGCGTGCATGAGGGCGCACCTTGATGGTGGCGGTGGACGTGACTATATCGCACGCCTTCACCTCCTGTACCAGCGGCGTGCGAGCCGCCTCGTCCTCTATCTCGCGCGCCACAGACGCCATGCTGAAGCCGTACACGTCCCTCCAAAACCCCACACTCGTTGCTCCCTCACCGAACCCCGCCACGTGCTGGTGGCGGGGAAGCGAAGCAGGCGGAATGATGGGATGGGAGAGGGGCAGCATGCGGAAGAGGAGACAAATGAACCGGAGGCAAGAAGCGAACAGTGCGAGCGGAATGCAGCCCTGATGGTTGCATGTGCAGGACATGCACCCATCTGAGCATGGAGGCATGAGGGCCAAGCTCAACCCATCTCTCTCACCATGGAGGCGGTGTCGGGCAGCAGGGCGCCGCCCGGTTTGAGCCAGGTGTCACGGGCGTGCAGCACAGAGGGCAGCATGGACTCGTACAGCAGCGCGTACCCCATCCACTCGCTCACTATCACGTCCACACTCCCCCGCTCCAACGCCACCTCCCCGCCGCCTCCCCCGCCTCCCGCCCCCTCGCCGCTAGCGCCCGCCTGCGCGGGTGCTTGAGTGGTCCCGGTGGGGGCGGGGGAGAGGTCCTCGATCTTGCTGCACACGAAGGACACCACGGGGCGTGGGGTGCGCTGAGGCGCGCTGGCAGAGGTGCTGCTGGGAGCAGGGGGGGCGGACTCGGCGTCCGCGAGATAGCCGTTGTCGCGCGCTATCTGGTGGCGGATAGAAGGGGTAGAGAGGAGAATGCGAGCGGTGAGGAGAAGTGACGATCGGCAAGAGATGTGAGGGAGTGAGAGAACCATGTGAATGGCATACAGGGAGATGCACGGCCATGTGCAGTAGACACATGCAGCATGCACCCCCTGTGCCTCCATCACCTCACTCGGCCTGCCTTGCCATCCTGTGAACCCACGCAGCCCCACCCCAAATGCTGCGCCGCCCACCTGCTGAGCCACGGTGAGAATCTCTCGACTGCCATCCACCGCCACCACCCTCGCTGCTCCTCCGCGCGCTGCAAACAGACTGCCCAGCACAGGAGGGATGAGGGGAATGGGCGGCAAGCCGGGAAGGGAGTGGAAGCTGAAGTGGCGCATGCAGGCATACCTTGTGAAGCAAGGAGGCAAGAGCACCCATACGTGGATGCGCGTGGATAGCACAGCTGGGGATCACATGGGCAGCCAGCCATCCCCACAGCTGAGGATCACATGGGCAGCCAGCCATCCCCACAGCTGAGGATCACATGGGCAGCCAGCCATCCCCACAGCTGAGGATCACATGGGCAGCCAGCCATCCCCACAGCTGAGGATCACATGGGCAGCCAGCCATCCCCACAGCTGAGGATCACATGGGCAGCCAGCCATCCCCACAGCTGAGGATCACATGGGCAGCCAGCCATCCCCACAGCTCCACACACCTCAGAATGCCCACCTGAGAATTCTCACCTGAAAATACCCACCTGAGAATTCTCACCTGAAAATACCCACCTGAGGATTCCCAACTGAGAATGCCCACCTGAGGATTCTCACTTGAAATACCCACCTGAGGATTCCCAACTGAGAATGCCCACCTGAGACTGCTCGCCTGAAAATGCTCACCTGAGAATGCCTGTGCCACAGCCCACATCCAGCACTGTTGCTCCCTCAATCAGGCTCGGGTTCTCCTCCAAAGCTGCCTGGTAGGCTGTGGTCCGAGCCTGCAAGGCAGGCATGGCAATGGGAAGCTCGGTAAGGATTTAGAGAGACGTTCGGATGTGAAGAGAGTGGGGCATGAAGGCATGCGGCCGCACAGAAGCACGCATGCATTTACTTGCCTTCGCACATCGCCTGCGCCCCCTCATCACTCTCACAGCGCCAACTAGCTATTCCATGTACCTCACTTCGTACCAGCCTGCCTCCTACCACAGAGCCGGTGTGCACAGGCAAGGGAGCGGGGCGGACCTTATCGGAGAGCATTTCGCGGTGGATGCCGAAGCCGGCGTAGGAGCTGAAGTAGTTGGCGTCGATCACGCGCACCTGCCTCTCCCGCACCGCCCCAAACGTCACCTGCCGCCGCTTCCTCGCCGCCTGCCCCTCCTCCCCATCCCCTTCCCCCTTCCCACCCGCACCAGCAACAGCAGGTGCTGCAGGTGAAGCCGCGGCGGCCTCCCCATCCATGGCGCCATCCACCGTCTCAGCAACGGCTGCCAGCTTCCTCTGGGCCTCATCGAGGGGCAGCAGGGCGTAGCTGGGGGAGGGCGAGGCGAGCGGCGTGGAGAAGGGCGTCCGAGGGACCACCGGGCTGCCCGTTCCCGAACCTCCTCCTTCCAATCCTAGCCCTGCCGTGCCTTCCCCTCCTGCCAAACCTGCCTTTGCAGCCACCACACCCACCGCTTTCTCAGCAGCAAGGGCGCCAGTGGAGGCTGGGCGGGGGGATACGGGAATGGGAGGTCGGCCCTGCTTGTGCTGCTGCTCGCCGTGCCTCACCTGCAGCAGCATGTCTTTCACCGACCCCTCGTGCATCCCACTGCCCACCCCCGACTCACCCACGCCTGCAGCAGCAGCGGCAGCAGCGGCGGCGGTGGCAAGGGAGGCGTAGCTGGGGCAGGGGGAGACCAGCGGCGTGGAGAAGGGCGTGCGCGGCGCTCCCATGCTCTGCGCCTGCCACGCTGCTGCAGCAGCCGACGGAGCAGCAGGCCCTGCACCCGCGCCTGCTGCAGCACCATCAGCGGTGGCAGCTTCAGCGGTGTTGCTGGCGCCTGAGGCTTGTGCTGCAGCAGAGGCAATGGCGGCAGCGGCAGTGGCGGTGGCAATGAGGGAGGCGGTACTGGGGGAGGGCGAGACCATGGGCGTGGAGAACGGCGTGCGTGGGGCGGCCGTGCCTGCACCACCGGCAGTGGCACTGAAAGGGCCTTCTGGAGCCCTTCCTGCTGACGTGGCAGCCAGCTGGTGTGCCAGCTGTGCGTTCTGTTGTCGCAGCAGCAGCACCTGATTGGCCAGCGTCACGTACTGCTCCAAAGAGGGCGCCACGTCCTCCCCGTCTGCACCCTCCCACCCCTCCACCTCCCCCCCTGCTCCTGCAACTTCTCCCACCTTCTCCTTGCCCTTGCCAACAGAAGAACCACCTGAAGTTCCACCTGAAGGTATACCTGAGCTGCCTACTCCCCCTCCCACCCCCCCTGTGCGGGCTGCCTGCACTCCCGCACCTCCGCTCCCACTGCTCTCCGCCCCTGCACCTTCCCCCTCCCCCTGCTCCCCCCCCGCACCCTCCCCCTGCGCCAGGGAGAGCAGCTCCTGGAACGCCAGAGAGCGCTCCTCCTCGCTCCCCACGCCGCCCCCCTCTGCTGCTGCCGCCGCCGCCGCCGCCGCCCCTGCCGCCGCTGCAGTGAGTGGTAACCCGGTAACGTCCACCACAGCACTGGCCTCGCGCGCACCCCCTCCGCCAGCAGCATCAGCGCTGCCCCCCTTGGCGCCCCCCTCGCTGCTGCCCTCCTCGTCGTCATCATCCAAGCTGTACAGCACAGGGTCGCCTTCCAGGAAGCTTCTGAGGTATGCGTCGTCTCCCCAAGGGGCCGGGGCGGAGGGCTCGGGCGGGGTGGAGAGCGGGAGAGGAGGGAGGAGAAAGTGCTGCAAAGCTTCCATGTGTTGAATGAGGTCAGGTGGGGAGGGGAAGGACTGTAGGCAGTGGATGCAGCGATGGGCCGCCACCTGGGGGCGCGGGGGAGGGGTTGGGGGGAGAGGAAGGGCGCAGGAAGAGAGTCCACTTGTCGCTTCACACTCGCATTGAAAGGTGTTGTTGTGACGCTGGGGGAAACGAGTGACACGCGTGAGAGGATGATACCTGGGTCTCTACACTCGAAAAATGCTTGAAGGCTCAGCAACTCACGTGGGTACGGATGAAGTTGACAGCGCGGATGCACTGATACTCGTCCCACTTCTGCGCTGCTCGCAATTGCTTCAAGTCGAACCCGCCATGCTCCGCGCGGCAGTGCTGCAGCATGCCCGCCACGTTGGACAGCTGCACGGGATTGCAGTGCAGGCAGAGGGACCAACACGTCAACCACAACTTGAACGACTTCTCAACAAAGGTTGCTCACCACTAAATAATACTCTCAAATCCTTCAAATAATCAACGCCAGCGGCCCCTGAACCCCCCATATCCCCTTAACCCTCCACCTTCCTCTCCCCTGCTTCCACTGCTTTCCTCCCCGCCTTCCCCAACCCCGTTCGCTGCAGCGTCGTGGCGTGGCGCTGGTTAAGCATGTCAATGCGGTGTGGCCCGTCCGATTGCACTCGCCTGGCGGGGGCAGAAGAAGCAGAGCGCGGGGTCGTCCGCCTCCTCCTCGTCCTCCTGCCACTCCTCCCACTCCCCCACCTCCTCCGCCTCCTCCGCCTCCTCCATCGCAATGTCTTCCGCGCTCAGCTCCATCCGCGCGCGCGGAAAACAGGAGAACAAGCGGAGATTTACACGAAGCGGAAAGTTTAAATGATGTGCCAATAAGCTCCCTTCTATAAAGTCCCTACACGGTAGAAATAAACTTTAAATAGAGACAGACGAGAATATTCAACCCAGCCTTGAAGCTCGCACCCCGCGATTTGGTGGTTCCTGGGAAGAATGATAGGCAAGGGTCAAACCAAGAATTGTGCTCGACAATCCCAAGGAAACCCATTTCGTGACTTCCTCGCTAGGGAAACCCAACGCGTTGGATTTTCACGTAGATGATTGCTTTAGGGAACCAACATTGTGCCAAGTCTGAAAACTTGTTAAAAAAACAACACAGCATTGTTAACTACTATTCCCCCTTGTACAACCTCCCTATATTTGGTTCCCTCGCACGTGTATAAGAACACCAATTTTTTCTTAATGGTACGTTTGCAATTTTTTGGCATGCAGGCTCTCTGCTGGTAATCCAGGTGGGTGGGCACATCAATGCAGTGAGAGCTGGTCCAGCATGGCTTGCATGAACTGCGGGTACACCCTGGACAGCGATGGCAGCACGTGTGACGGCGCTGACAGCAGGCTGCCCCACGGCCGCCCCTCCACCGCCTCCATCTCCCCTTGCCCCCTCCCTTCACCCGCCGCTCTGCCCTTCTCCGACAAACCCCCTGCCGCTGCTGCCACGGCCGCTGCGGTGGTTGCTGCTCCATAGATGCTTTCAAAGGCCGAAAGAGCTGCCACAGGCAAGAGAAATGAAGAGAATGGAAGCAAGCAAGTCAATGAATTTGGAGAAGGCAAGATGACAGCAGGGGCAATAGACATTCTTGAGGAGGGGTTGATGAGTAGAGTGGATGGACAGAGGGAGGGAGGGGTGGGGCCAGGGGCAGCTTTCTCACTCACCTTGACCGTCCGCCATGCCAGCAGCAGCACCATTTGACAGCTCCACGTCCCGACCCGCTGCATCTGGCGCAGGCCGGCTCTCCTCCCCATTCAGCACCGCATACTCCCTGCCACCGCTCACCACCACGATGGACCACTGCGCTGTCCCTTCCTTGCTGCTGCTGCTGCTGCTGCCGGCAGGTGCGGAGGAGGGTGGCAGGAAGGCGACAGTGGCGGCAGTGACATCAGCCATCTCCCACGCTGCGATGGGCACAGGGCTCTCCCCGCCCTCAAACACCAGCACTGCCCCCTTCACCGCCCCGCCTTCGCCTGCACTCCTCCTCGCCCACCCACTCCTCCCAACACTACCTTCCTTCGGTCCCACCTCCTCCCCGTGCTCCTCCTCCTCACCCTCCCCCCCTTCCTCGTCCTTCTCCACGCCACCGCCCTGCCCTGTGTCGCCGCCCCTCCCACCACCGCCACCAGCGGTGGGAGCAGCAACGATGACGGCGAAGAGCGGTGCAGAGGGGTGGGTGGCGAGGGAGAGCACACGGAGGTGGAGGCACCAGGCGAGGGAGAGAGAGAGCAGACTCCACACGGACAGAGCCGCGTAGGGGGCAGCGGTTGAGCCTGGCGGCGTAAAGTAGGTCCCCGAGGGGGCGAGGGCGCCGGAGACAGCAAGGAGGAAGGGGGAGTGGGGCAGGAAGGCGAGCGCGGTGACGGGCTGGTGCCACGGCAGGCCTGCCTGCAGGGGGCTGAGAGAGGGCGCGCAGTGCAGCACGGCCAGCAGCGCGTGGCGGTCGGGGTCCCACAGAGTGACGCGGTGCAGGGCGGCCACGGCCAGCAGGGAACCCTCCCAGGAGAAGCTCGCTGCAAGGAGGGGCTGCGAGGCGTAGCTGCCCACCCCACGGCAGCGCCAGCAGAAGGTCAGCGGTGCGATGCCCGCCTCCCGCTCCTCCATGCGCTCCCGCGCCGTCTTCGCTTGCCCTGACCCCTGCACGCCTCCTCTCCCTCGCCCCCCGCCCCCTTTCACTCCCCCACGCCCCTGCTTGGCACCCTTCCTCTCTCCCTCCTCCCCCCCTTCGTCCTCCCCCTCGCCCCACACGCGGGTCCAAGTGCGGAATTCACCGTCCGTGCCGCACGTGACCACCATGTCGCCGCCCGCCCGCACGTGCACGCCGGTCACCAGCCCCGCCGCCCCGTGCGGCGCATCCACCGCCGTCGTCAGCGCCGTCAGCCCCTCCTTGCCGCCCTTGCCTCCCTTGCCACTGCCCTGCCTCACGCCCTGAGTGCCGCCGAACGGTGCCGCCCAGAACTTGAGGGTGGACTGCTGGCCGGCCAGATCTTCCGGCTGGCGGATCTCAACAGTGACCAGCGTGTGGCCGTCAGGGGAGAAGCACACGTGGCTCACCCAGATTGGCGGGGGTTTCGGCCCCTGCTGCTGTGGCTGCGGCTGCTGAGCTTTGCCTTGCCCGCCCTGCAGCAGGCGCACGGCCTGGTCGCGCTGCTGCATCTCCTGCAGCTTCAAGGCGCGCTTGAAGCGGGCCTCAGCGGAGGAGACCACGTTGATGCGCATCAGCTGCACCGCCGCCACCACCTGCTGCCTCCCCACCTCGTACACCTGCACCAGCCCCAGTGGCCCCACCACCACCAGCCGCGCACTCCCGCCCCTCACACTCTGCACCACTGCTGACGGGGCACCGCCGCCCGTCACTGCCAGCTCAACCGCCAGCTGGCGCGCCACGTCAGCCGGGAGGCAGTTGGAGAGGGAGGAGGAGGTGGCAGAGGCGGAGGAGGGGAGGGGGCCGAGGGGGGATTTGAAGGGGTCGAGTGGGGGGAGGATGAAGTGGCGCGCGGGGAGGGGGCGTGTGGGGGGCGGGGGGGCGATGCCGCGGATGGAGGCGATGAGGGACGACTCGCTGAGGTCCACCACTCGCACGCTGTTGTCCGCACACTGCATCCCAAACCGCAACGCCTCCGGTGCTGCCAACGGTGCCACCAGCGACCGCGCTCCCCCTGCCCCCCCTGCTGCTGCTGCTGCACTGGGTGTGGAGGGGCTGGGGGGAGGCAGCGGGGGAAGCAGGGAGGGCGGGAGCACGAGGCGGAGCAGGGCGGCGGGCATGCGGGGGAGGAAGCGGCGCGCGCCGGACTGCAGCTGCCAGACGAGCGCCACGGCCTCGGCGCCTATGGACACCAGGTGCACCCCGTCAGGGGAGAAGGCGAGATCCGCCACGGCGGAGGCGTGCCAGTGCAGCGATGACACCGCCTCACAGTCCTCCTCCCCCTCCGCTCCCCTCCGCCCCTCTCCCTCCTCCTCGCCCTCCCCCTCCTCCCCTTCTCCTGCTCCTGCTGCTCCTCCCCCTCTCCCGGCGCCCCACCTGCCCCCGCCCCCTCCCTGCCCACCTCTCCCCCCTCCCCGACCTCTTCCCCCCCTCCACCCGCCCTCTCGCCCTGCGCGTCCGCCAGCTGGCGCGCCCCTGGCTTGGCCTTCCCCCCACGCCCAGCCGGAGCGGCGGCCGATGCCGTGCCACACCACCACGCGCCCCAACACGTCGCCCGCTGCCACCTGCACGCACGCGGGGCGGGAGAGAGACGGGGCACGTGGGAGGTGGCTCATGTGAGGGGCACGTGGGAAAGACGAGCGTGAGAGGAATGAAGGAACAGCAGCAGGGGCAGCAGGAGCATCATGAGGGGCAGCAGGAGCATCATGAGGGGCAGCAGGAGCATCATGAGGGGCAGCAGGAGCATCATGAGGGGCAGCAGGAGCATCATGAGGGGCAGCAGGAGCATCATGAGGGGCAGCAGGAGCATCATGAGGGGCAGCAGGAGCATCATGAGGGGCAGCAGGAGCATCATGAGGGGCAGCAGGAGCATCATGAGGGGCAGCAGGAGCATCATGAGGGGCAGCAGGAGCATCATGAGGGGCAGCAGGAGCATCATGAGGGGCAGCAGGAGCATCATGAGGGGCAGCAGGAGCATCATGAGGGGCAGCAGGAGCATCATGAGGGGCAGCAGGAGCATCATGAGGGGCAGCAGGAGCATCATGAGGGGCAGCAGGAGCATCATGAGGGGCAGCAGGAGCATCATGAGGGGCAGCAGGAGCATCATGAGGGGCAGCAGGAGCATCATGAGGGGCAGCAGGAGCATCATGAGGGGCAGCAGGAGCATCATGAGGGGCAGCAGGAGCATCATGAGGGGCAGCAGGAGCATCATGAGGGGCAGCAGGAGCATCATGAGGGGCAGCAGGAGCATCATGAGGGGCAGCAGGAGCATCATGAGGGGCAGCAGGAGCATCATGAGGGGCAGCAGGAGCATCATGAGGGGCAGCAGGAGCATCATGAGGGGCAGCAGGAGCATCATGAGGGGCAGCAGGAGCATCATGAGGGGCAGCAGGAGCATCATGAGGGGCAGCAGGAGCATCATGAGGGGCAGCAGGAGCATCATGAGGGGCAGCAGGAGCATCATGAGGGGCAGCAGGAGCATCATGAGGGGCAGCAGGAGCATCATGAGGGGCAGCAGGAGCATCATGAGGGGCAGCAGGAGCATCATGAGGGGCAGCAGGAGCATCATGAGGGGCAGCAGGAGCATCATGAGGGGCAGCAGGAGCATCATGAGGGGCAGCAGGAGCATCATGAGGGGCAGCAGGAGCATCATGAGGGGCAGCAGGAGCATCATGAGGGGCAGCAGGAGCATCATGAGGGGCAGCAGGAGCATCATGAGGGGCACGAGTGGCATGGCATGAGCAACAGCGGGGGCATGGGGGCATGGGGGCATGGGGGCATTGGGGGGAGAGCGCGCATGGGGGGAATGGGGCGGCGCACCTGCTGGTCATCGGGGTGGATGGCGACGCATGTGAGCGCGCGGCGGTGGTGCAGGTGCAGGCGCGCGTGGTGCGCGGGGCGCGTGCAGTGCGCCACGAACACCTTCCTCCCCGACGCCACCGCCAGCAGGCGCCCCGTCGCTGGGCTGATGGCCAGCGGGGAGGACACGAGCAGCTGCACGGAGGGGGAGAGGAAGGGGGAAGAGGTGGGGGGAAGGAAAAGGGAAGAGAGTGGGAGAGGAGCAGGGGCAGGCAGGGCGGGTTGAGTTGATGGGGAGAGGGGCGAAGTGGCGTGAGTGGGGCGCACGGCAGCATGGCATGCAAAGCGTGAAAGAGAAGGGCGGGCACAGGCGAGGAGCAGGTTGTGACCTGGTGGAGGAGCGACCTGGTGGAGGAGCGACCTGGTGGAGGAGCGACCTGGTGGAGGAACGACCTGGTGGAGGAGCGACCTGGTGGAAGAGCGTTTTGAGGCAGCGGTCTTGGAAGACGTCGTAGTGCAGCAGGTCGCAGCCGCGCTGCTCGTTGCCCACCACCACCAACGCCACCGGCGCCACCGCCCTCTCCTCCTCGCGCCCGCCCGCCCCCTCCACCATCTCCGTGCTCGCATACGGATACATCACCTGCTCATGGCGTTGTGGTTAGTGGGGGGGAGGAGAGGGAGAGTGAAGGGGAAAGGAGACGAGTGCAGAGAGAGGGTACGCAGGGAAGCGAGGAGGGTAGTGGGGAGGAGGATTGGTGGCGGTGGCGCGGGGAAGGAGGTGCGAATCGGATCCCAGGCGTGGGTGTATGGTGCGATCCAGAGAGTGAAAGTCACTCACAAGGTCTCTGATTGGTCGGCCCAGGTGCAGCACTCTTAGCGAGGCCCCCGTTACAAAGTTCCACAGCCGCATCGTTCCGTCCAGCGACCCGCTCCACGCGTACACCATCGATGACGTGGCAGAGTCTGGAGCTGACACGTCAGCAGGGGGGTTGATCCCCATGTGGTCATCGTCGTCATCAGCGCCGCGAGCGGCAGCGGCGGATGCGGCGGGCGAGCGGGCGACGGCGGAGGTGGAGACGCACGTGACGAGCGCCGTGTGGCCCTGCAGCACCGCCACCTGCCGGGGGAGATGGAGGAGGGGTTGGGGGGACGGGGGGTTGAGGGGTTGAGGCGAGGGGGTGCGGAACGAGCATGCGGCATCGGAACGGCTGTGAGGACTGCTTCGGACGCACGGGGGCGAGTCAACTGCGCGAGTTCGGGGTTTATTGCGCCGCATGCACGGGGCGCAGCTCGAGCGCGGGGAGAGCACCTCGGAGCGGGATGCGCACCTGGGCGGCGGGATGCGCACCTGGGTGGCGGAGGCGAGCGCGAAGACGCGGACGACGGCCCCGCACGGGCAGAGCAGGCGCTGGCCGTCCGCGCTGAACGCCGCGCGCCCATCCACCAGACTGCCGCCGCCCCATGCCACCGGCGCGGCTGCCGCCAGGGTGGGCGGAAGCGCAGGCATAGCGGCCCGAGATAGACGCGGGGAGCGGCAAGGGGTGTAAACAAGGGAAATGAGGCGAGGTTCCGGGTTGGGACAAGGTTCCGGGTGTAGGGTTTAGGGAGACGCAAGGGGGGGGATGCAGAGGTAGGCGAGCGACGAAAGGAAGAAGGCGGGTCGCAAGGAATGACGGCGAATCGACGCAGGCGCGAGCAGGGAGGTGAGGTGTCCGTTTAGCGAGAGGAATGAGGGGATCAATTCTAGGCGTGACCGATCATGCCGCTGCTGGTAACAATGTTGGCGTACGGGCCGCCTCAAAGAAATCTTAAGCGCCTTGCGACGCGCTCTGCCACGCGCTTACGAGACACCCTTTGCTTGGCTTCTGAGTTTCAAATAGCTGTCTGTGTTGAAAGGCGAGGGCACCGCGACATAGTCGCCCTGTCATACCGCACAGCTCAAATGAACACAGCCTCGCGGTGTAGCCCGAGTTATTACATGCCATACTTCGCAACAGTTTAACTCAGAATAGTTAAAACAAGATTTCAAATTCCATTCCACTTTTCCATCTAATTGCACTCCTGAAAGGAGAAAATCAGAAACCCCTTGTGATGAGAAAGAAAACGCAGTGTAGATGCACACATAGCAGCAGGTGCTGAACAAAGCACTGTAAACTGTGCGAACCAATCTCGTGAGATTGTGCGTACCCACTTGCTAGCTGTAAGCCACATGTCTTGTACAGCTGATAGCATGGCAACTCGTGTGCATGTGTGTGTGAGTGTAGACAGAACCCAGAGTGCTCCAGGGAGCAGGCAGCAGGCGTCATCGAGTGCACATGCTACCCAAGCCATGCCACCTCTGCCAACCCCATGCCTCCTCCCATGCCTCTGCCCTGACGGCCCCCCTCTCTGGCATTCCCCCTCCCTCCCCCATACCCCCTCCCCATCCCCACACTCACCCCCACCGCCCCCACCACTCCCATCCCACTGGTCACCCCTCTCCCCACCACTCCCCCCACCCCCGTCTCTGGTGCTCCCCCTCCTGCCCCCACCCCTGCTGCAGCCCCCCCTGCCCTGCCACCACCCCACCCGCCTCCCCCCTGCTGGCCTGCCACGGCAGCAGCAGCAGCGGCGGCAGCAGCGGCAGACCAGTGGCCCAGCTGCCCTGCCTGCACCGGAGATATGCCCATGGGCTCCGCACCGCTCTCCACCTCTCCATCTATTCCCGCCAATCCCTCTGCGCTGCTATCCCCCTCATCCTCCCCTCCTCGCCATCGCTCACTGTGTGTAGCGCCTGCACCGCCAGCAGCAGCAGCGGCAGCGGTGTGGTGTGGCAGGGCGAGCGGGGCGTGTGGGTGGTCAGTGACAGCGCGGTAGTGGTGTGGGGCGGACGAGCCACTGGCCGTGGCAGAGGGGCGAGACCTGCACGTGGGAGGGGTGGCACAGGGCAGGGAGAACATAGAGCATCGGAACACAAGGCATGGGGAACAGTGCCATGCTCATGCCATGGAGACAAGCACATGGGCATGGTGCAGAGGAAGTGGCATAACGTGGCGTTGGCACTCCCTGCCCCACTCACCACATGAAGGCGCCAGCAGCAGCAAGAGGCGAGCAGTCCATAGCTCCCAGCGACCCGCCACTGCCCCGCCCAGCTGCCGCCCCGCCATGCCCTCCAGGCGCAGCAGCAGCTGACAACACACCCGCTGCCGCAGCGGCAGGAACAGCAGCATCCGTGGTGGGTGCAGGTTGCATGTAGACAGCGTTGAGAGGGCTCCAGGCAGCAGGGGGGCCAATGGTGTGCCCCCCATGCCCGTGTGACCCCACATGCCCATGCGAGCCCACATACCCATGCGAGCCCACGTGAGTGTTTCCCTCCATAGAGCTGGGTCCACTGCCATGCCCACTGCCTCTCACCTGCCACGCAACCCCACCCACGCCTCCTGTCCCCTGCCCCTCATCCGTCCCCCCACCCTCCTGCTCCCCCCACCACCCCTTGCCACCTACTCCCCCACCCGCCATGACCCCACTCCCACTACCACCAGCAGCGGCAGTGGTGGCAGCAGTGGAGGGTGGCTGGTGGGGGTGGGAGTGGGGTTGGGGGGGGTGCAGCAGCAGATCATCACAGAAGTACGGGTCCCACTCCGCAGGCCCATCCCCCTCGCCTGCTGAACTGCTCTTTCCCCTCTCCCACCCCGCTCCTCCTCCCCCCCCTCCCTCCCCTTCGCCCCTTCTCCCCTCGTGTGCATCACTCGCCGCACCTGTTGCTGTGCGCCCGCTCTCCTGGCTCCTGTCATTGCTGCTGTAGTGCGAGCCCAGCCCCAGCCCCAGCCCCAGGCTCACACCAGCTATACCCTCGCCACCACCACCACCCTCACCACCACCAGCACCACCAGCAGCTGCCTCCCAAGATTCTGGCAGCTGTGCACCCCCCTGCATGCTCACACGGGCACGGCCCTCCCCCACAAGATCCCCCTGCCCTGCAAGCGCCTGCCTCCCTGCATGCACGCCATGCTGCCTGCTGCTACTCTCTGCACCGTGCCCACCCCCCTTGCCGCTCCTGCTGTCGCCAGCACCTTCACTCGCGGCCTCTCTTGCCCCGTGCTCCACCCTTGCCATCCCTCCCCGCTGCCCCTCACGCTGCTCCTGCTGCACCTGTCTCTGCTTCAACTCTTCCGCTTCTTGTTGTAGCTGCAGTTGCTGCTGCTGCAACAGATGCTGCTGCTGTTGTTGCTGCTGTTGCTGCTCCAATTGCTGTTGCTGTTGCTGCTGTTGTTGTTGTTGCTGCTGCTGCTGCTGCTGTTGCTGTTGCTGTTGCTGCTGCTGCTGCTGCTGCTGCTGCTGCTGCTGCTGCTGCTGCTGCTGCTGCTGCTGCTGCTGCTGCTGCTGCTGCTGCTGCTGCTGCTGCTGCTGCTGCTGCTGCTGCTGCTGCTGCTGCTGCTGCTGCTGCTGCTGCTGCTGCTGCTGCTGCTGCTGCTGCTGCTGCTGCTGCTGCTGCTGCTGCTGCTGCTGCTGCTGCTGCTGCTGCTGCTGCTGCAGCTGCAGGTGCTGTTGCAGTTGCAGTTGTTCCTGCTCCTGTTGCTGCTGCATGATGGCCATCAACCGCATCACCTCACTCTGCCGCCTCTGGAACTGTCCCATCACAGCCGCCTTCTCCAGTGCAATCCCCCCTTCCGCTCCGCCCCTGCCAACACTCAACCCCATCCCCCCTGCCCCTGCACCCGCCAGCCCTCTAGCAGCGGGGGAGGGCAGCCCTGCGCCCGGATTGTGGCTGGTAGGGTGGGTGCTGCCGCTGGGGCCCAGAGAGGACGCCTGCCCCACTGACCCTCGGGCCAGCGGGGAGGAGAAGTCAGGGTGGAGCGAGGACGGGGAGAAGTGAGGCGAGGAGGTGGTGGGGGAGGAGGGCGTTGTGGGCTCACTCACACGCACTTGCAGGTGTCCCTGCCGCCCACCCTGCTGCTGTTGGAGTTGGTGCTGGTGCGAGTGGGAGGATGGGAAGTGGCGCGAGTGGGAGGGAGGGGTGAACTGCAACGGACTGGCTCCCAGCAGCGAGTTGCTGCTCACTGCCACTTCGCCGTCCCTCCCCCCCCAGTACCCCCCTCCCCCTCGCCCTGCCCCGTCCAGGAAAGGCTCGCCAGGGCTTTGCCCCAAGGGCACATACGCACCCTCATTCCCCATGCCCTGCCACACCCCCCCACCACTGCCCCGCCTCTCCTGCTGCCTGCCGCCAGCAGATACGGCGCCGGGGGCTGCAAGGGTGGCAGCTGCGGGGATGCTCATGCTCATGCCCATTCCCACTCCCGTGCCAATGCCCATGCCTGTGCTGCCGTCTGCCACCTGTTGTGAACGAAACTGGGCGGAGAGCAGGGATGCAGACGAGGGCTGCAGGGAGTGAGAACTCTGCAGCTGCTCATGCAGGGACGACCGCTTTTGCTGCGATGACTGCTGCTGCTGCTGCTGCTGCTGGTGCTGCATCTGCTGCATCTGCTGCTGTTGATGCAGCCTCTGCAGCTGTTGATACTGCTGCTGCTGCTGCTGCTGCTGCTGCAATTGCAGTTGAAACTGCTGCTGAAACTGCTGCTGGTACTGCTGCAACGAGCCCCTCCCGGGACCCAGAGGGCTGGACGGCATCTGACTCATGAGACTCGATTGACTTGCTTGACTCAGCTGATTCACCTGACCTGCCTGATTCGCCAGCCCGGCCTGCCCCAGCTGGCCCATCTGCCACTGCTGCGCCGCTTGATTCATGCTGGCCAGCGCAGGCAGCAGCTGCCGTGTGTCCGGGCTCTGCCCAAACCCTAACCCTAATCCTAACCCCAGCCCTCCACCACCTCCCGCAGCTGCTGCTCCTGCCGCTGCTCCAAACGACCCTGACCCCAAGTCCGCCCCCTGCCCTGCCGCAGCAAGGTGCGCAGCATACGCCATGTAGGAGCCTGTGGGGTCTGTCAGACTGCCCACCCCTCCCAGACTCCCCACGCCCCCCATCCCTCCCATCCCTCCCATGCCCGCCACGCCCCCCATGCCCCCCACACTCCCCATGCCTCCCAAAACCCCCATGGCGCCAAAGCTGTTGCCAAGGCTGCCAAGGCTGCCGTAGGAGCCCACACTGGCGCCCAGAGGGCCGTAGTTGTGGGGCAGCCCGAGGGGCACGCCATACCCCCCCATGCTCCCATATCCGCCTTCGCCCATGCCTGCTGCTCCCATGCCTGGCCCCATGCCTGCACCCATGGCCAGAGCAGCAGGAGCAAGGGCGGCGGGCATGGCAGCAGGAGCAGGTCCAGACAGAGCCATGGCGGGCGGCAGTGCTGCTCCCACGCCCGCTGCCCCGCCCAGGCTGCCTGCCATTATGCCCCCCTCCAACGCCCCTCCCCGCCCTGCTTCCTGAGCTCCTAGCGACTGCCTGTGCTGCAGCACACGCGCATGCTGCTGCTGCTGCTGCGCGAGGCGCGAGGCACCCTCCCTGTGCAGCGGCTGCAGCTGAGCGGCCTCGGTGGCGTCCACCTGCTGCTGCTGCGGAGCGGGTTGAAGCGGGGATGAGACGCATGGGGGGATGCACGTGTTGACCACGGGAGTGAGTTGCATGACGCAGTCAAGCAGAGCGATTGCAGAGCAGCGGGAGGAGTGAGGTGCGGAAGGCAGAGGTGAGCTCACCTGGCGCTGTGGCTGGAAGGGCCCCATCCATGGCTCGTCCGTGATAAATGGGTGCTGTGCCGCCTGCCAGTCGCAACGGGCCACGGAGGGATCGATGTGGGGTAGAGAGGAGGTGATACTTTGAGAAAGAGGGAGAGAGGAGGAAACGGGAGCAGAAGAGAGAGAGCAGGGAGGCGAGGCAAGCAAAGAGGCCAGCAAAGCGCATGGAGGCGGGGTTGCGGGGGTCGGAGACCTGGCGGGCGGTCCAGCGCTGGGCGGGGTCCATGTGGAGCAGGCCCGAGAGAAAGTCCACAAACGCCACTCGGCTTGCCCGCTCCTGCCGCGCCTCCTCCGCCCCTTCCCCGCGCCGCAGCGCATAGCCCAGCACGAGGTCGCTGAGTGCCGTCTGCCGAAAGTACCTCTTCCCCAGCGCCGGGCGCGCCTCCCCCCCCGCCACCACCTCCTCCACCGTCTTCAGGCGGTACGCTGAACCGCGCCCATCCTCCCCCCCACCCCCCGCGTCTGCTGTGCGCACAAAGTACTTGGCCGTGTGCTTGGCATGCCTCAACATGGCATCGGGCGGCTGGCAGCTGCATGGCACAGCGAGGGAGCAGGAAAGGTGAAGAAACGCGGGAGGGGAAGAAATGAGAGCGTGGAATACTCCTATCGGGAAAAGAAAGTAGGGATCAATAAATATAGAGGACGTTTCATGCAGAGGAGCATGGTTGAAGGCAGCAGGGACAGCAGAAGGAGTGAGTGTGTGCAGAGTGGTGACGGACCCCATGGTTTCGACCATGCGGTGCAGCATGTCAAACTCGGAGGCGCCAGGGAAGAGCGGCAGGCCGAGGAAGAGCTCCGCCGCCACACAGCCCAGCGACCACAGATCAATGGCCGTGCCGTACGCGTGCCCCAACACCACCTCCGGCGACCGGTAGAACCGACTCTGGTGGGGGAGAGGAGAAGGTGGGGAGAGGGGGACACATGGGGTCGCAGAGGCCGGGGAGAGGTGAGGGGGCATGGGAGGGGCCTGCGGCGAGTGCAGACATGCGGCCTGAAACAGACAGAGAAGGAGGGCAGAAATCAGTGGTTGTTCGTACATGCAGCATAGCTTATGGTGGTGGGGTGCATGCATGTGGGAGTGGGCCTGGGTTGCACCTGGATGTAAGAGTACACAGTTCGATTCTCAGTGCAGGCAGAGCCAAAGTCGATGAGCTTGATCTCGCCGCCCAAGCTGGGGTGAGCATGGGGCAGGTGAGCAGGAGATGCGGAGCAGGGGGGGGGAGAGGGCATAAGCGACGGTGAGGGGGGCGGGCGTCGATGACAGTGAATGATGAGCCAAAAGAGCAAAGCTTGGGGTGCGGGGCGTACCTTTTGAGGAGGATGTTTTCGGGCTTGAGGTCGCAGTGTATGACGCGCGCATCCTCCAACACCGTCAGCGCCACCAGCAGCTGCACCCCCGTGGGGGATGGCGTGGCAGGAGGCAGGGGCAGGGCGGGGGAGAAAAGGGTGGCAGCACAGAGGATGAGAAGGGAAGACGCGGAGAGGAAGGCGGGAGGAAGATGCAACATGGAGGAGGTACTCAGAAGCAGGAGGCGTGTTGACAACGAAGGTGTGAGTAATGTGTAGTCAATCACGAAGGGCGGTGTGATGTGCAGGGAGGGTGGCAGCACACCTGCTTGGTGAAGAGGCGCACCTGCTTGGTGAAGAGGCGCACCTGTTTGGTGAAGAGGCGCACCTGTTTGGTGAAGAGGCGCACCTGCTTGGTGAAGAGGCGCACCTGTTTGGTGAAGAGGCGAACCTGCTTGGTGAAGAGGCGCACCTGTTTGGTGAAGAGGCGCACCTGTTTGGTGAAGAGGCGCACCTGTTTGGTGAAGAGGCGCACGAGCTTGAGAGAGAGGCCGCGGAACTGGTTCTGGCGGATGAGCTCGAAGCTGCACACAGCATGGAACACGCAAAGGTGAGCGAGGGAGAGCTACGCAATGCAATGCTACAACGCATACTGCTATGGGACGAAGAGCCAGCGCGCGTGGCAGGGGTGTGGTGGGCGTGTGCACGAGGGTGGGGGCGAGGGAGAGGGAAAGGGGTCGGGCAGGTGACTGACAGGTTGTAGGTGAGGAGTTCGAAGACGATGCAGAGGTGGCTGTGGCACACGAAGTGGTCCACCAGTCGCACTATGTGGTGCTCGTCCTGCGGGTCAAACGACCCGTTCAACTGCTCCCAGCACAGAGGAAGGGGAGAAAGGAGGGGGAAGGGGAGGGCAGCAGAATGAGGAACAGGGATGGGGTGTGTGAAGCAGAAGTTGCAATGCAATAGCGTGTCACCCGCCAGTGAGCGCAATGCACGGTGGCACAGCTAGCAGAGCAGTCCCACATGCCCAGCAATGACAGTCTCAACAGTGTGCGGTGTGGCAGAGCAAAGGGGCCTCACGAGGCGGAGGATGCTGATCTCGACGAGCGCCTGGTGGTAGTAGGCGGGCTGATTCTTGATGACCTTCACCGCCACCACCTCGCCCGTCTCCCCGCACTCGCACTTCACCACCTGCCCGAACGTGCCCTGCCCCAACACGTCCCGCACCACGTAGCTGCGCGGAACCCGCGAGACGGGGGAGGGAAGGGGGGGATGAGCAAGCGATGAGGACGAGCGTGTCCTGGAGCGCACCTCGCTGCCGTCAAGATCGTGCGTGGCCCCTCCAAGTGACTAAACCGAATGAGAATGAGTTTGAGATTGGGACCAATGCCTGGGTGAAGGTTGCGGGAGGCGCGTGAAGGGCGCATGGGGGTCGCGGAGCAGCCTGCAGCGCACATGTGCGTGCGGGTAACGCGGTGGGCAGCGCCGTGTAGCCAAGTGCGGGGGTCACCTGGGGGTGCCGGGGTCGCCGTGCAGCACGAGGCGTCACCTGGGGGTGCCGGGATCGCCGTGCAGCACGAGGCCCGTGGAGAGGATGAGGTCGGAGTTGGCGTTGTCCCACCCCTCGTTCCCCGCCGCCTCCGACGGCTTCGTCAGCACCACGCGCGCCGCCCGCTCGCCGTCACCTGCTCCGCCCTCCGGCGAGCCATACTCGCGAGCCGCGGGTTGGTCAGGAACGGCGGGCGCGGGGTTTGAGGAGGGATGGTGGGCGGCGATGTGTGCGCGCGAGGCGTCGTTGCAGGCGGAGTAGGTGTGCTTGAGCCCCGCCGTCATCCGCACCACCAGCTGGCACGGGGGGGCACAGCGTGGGGGGGGGGGTGGGAGAATGAGGGGCGGAATGCACAGGATGGAAGGAGAGAAGAAAACACAGGGGAGCATTGTCAAGAAAACGGAAAGCGTCAGAGAAGTAACAAGCAGATTGGCGCGGGAATCACGAACGTGAGGAGAGGCAAGCACGACGAGGGGGAAAGGAATGTCCAGGCGTGCAGTGAGAAGAACAAACGGTTCATATTGCCACTAATGGCTAAAACGGTGGACTAGAGCAGTGACGATGCGACCAGTGCTGGTGTAAGAGCTGGAGGCGACATTGAGGTAAGTGAGCGGAAGGATGTCTAGGGCTGGATGCGATGGTCATGACGCGCCCTCGGCCGAGAGGATTGCCAGAGTCACGACACGCCCTAGACGTGGCAGTCTACAGAAATTGAGACTGAAATTTCTCAGCCGCCCTGACACCGCAAGTCCCAGCCGTTTGAGCATCACGCATCGAACGGTCGCGACGGCAGTTTGCATCCGTTACAAAAAAATCCACAAATTGCTCATAAAACGGGCTCATGGCACGTGTGGACCATGCTTCTCGTTCCAACGGTCCCGGAAACTCCACTGGTCCACCATCCTCCATGGTTACTCGGCTGGCGATTGACAGCTGACGTGGTCAATCTGGAGGACTTGGGTCATTGAGACCTACTTGCCAAGCAGGCACTAAAGAAGCAAGTTCTGCAAGCAGCAACGGGTGACGGCGAGGCTCCTCGGACTTACTGGCGTCCGCTGGTTCGATTCCTGCCGCTGCTCGCCGTTCTGCTCCGCATGCGCGTTTGACACGCGCGCCACCACGGAGAACGCTCCTTGCCGAGGCATCCAAGCGGCCGTCACTGGCGCCGATCGGGATTCCGACTCCTGCCTCGCACCAAATAGGTCAGTCGCTCCGTCTAATCCGAAGCTGGCCTTTGAGCTGTCCGTTTGTTCCTGACTAAGATCTAAATTCCAAAGGCCGGAACCAAGGCCGTCGACGTCATGATCCTTAATCGCAGGGGATTGCGAAGATCCGAGATTGAGGCTTCCCATTTCCTGCACCCAGACTACTGCATAGCCTCGCTACGGAATCCTCAACCGTCGAATTCCCTCGTGCACCGGAGCAATAGGACGAGCCCATAGGCTTCAGAGAACAACCTCTAAGGCCGACTAACCGTCAGGCTGAAGCATATTATCGCCTCACAAATGGCAGCATGTGGTGAAAACGGCGAGGTATATTCGATCACAAGGAGCTATGGCTGGAAGCACTGCAGGGGGACCCAACGGACTGCGGAACACAAGGCTGCAAAAGGTCGCTCGCTGCAGGCGGAAGCACACGGCGGAAGGTCCACAATGTGAACAGTTCCCGCCGACCACCTCCGCTCCGCCATGATGAACTGGGTGCTCGCATCAGTGACGTGTCGGCCGGGCTGCCAAAACCGCACTCGCGAGGAGGCCATGTCGATGCTGCGAAGGTTTCGCGTGTGAAACATGCTGGAAGCTGCGATGGCTCTGCAGTAGCATGCGACGCTCCTTTGGGGTTTCCATGCGACAACTGCTGCCCACGTGCGTTCGCGACGTTCTCGAGGTTTTACGGTGTGAGTTGAAGGTGACTGAAACGGGCTTCTGGATGTGGGCCTTATTGAGATTTGTTCACTAAAGAGCCTAAAATCCCATACAATGAAACTAGTACCATATAAAGAAAACAATGCACATAAAACAAACCGACAAGAAGCATTACAAAGTTAGTATGAGATTTCAAGTGGACCCACTAGTAGGGGGGGGGTCACTGTTTTAGCTGCTGGCTATAAAGAAAACAATGCACATAAAGGTGTGTTGGATATGAATTTTCTTATCTAAGACACGATTAGTACTTCTAAACCAATATTTTTCTAATAAAAATGAAGGACTGGATATGCGGGGCATGCTTAATCTATTACAAGTTCTTGGCAAGAAACTGATCGAGACCATCATGTTCTTTCTGTAATAAGTACGTATGGGAAGAAAAGTGTGGTCTTACATTTTATTAGCGAGCAGCATTTAGATCTTCTCGAAAGGGCGGAAAGGCGGCGATTTACGGAGGGTTGATGGCAACGTGGACACCACGCTGGCAAGATTTGACCTAAACCTTGCCGCGTGGAAAGGTTCAACAGAACCTTCTGAGAGTGGCCTTCTGGAATATCAGCGACTCTTCTTCCACGTGGCGTCCCTCGTGGCCGAATGCTGCTAGGTTGAAACTCGAGGTTCTTCCTTTCCCTACGCCTCCCCATCCCACCATTGCTCCTAGTCACATCAACCTCAGCTTCACTCACCACGTCTCATTTTTCCTAACACGATCGCAACATCGCCACTGCTCTCCTCGCCAGACGCTCATACTTGTCTCTTCGCGCTTCCGTGAGCGACTGTTCCTGCTATCGTGCTTGTCGAAGAAGACCTCGGTCATGGCGTCCAGCTTGGCCCATAGCATGGCAGCAGCCCAAACTGCAGTGCCCGCGAAGGTAGCCGACCGTGCAAGGATGCAATTACAGCAAACGGCATTTGCAGATTGACGTCGTAGTTTGTTGCAATTACAGCAACCTCTCATCAACCATGCACTTGGGCGTATATGTATTGTGGTGTTCCCACGCAGCGGCACTTATTAATTGCCGTTGACGGCGATTCCTCCCCATCCCTCCCCTCTTCCCTTGCTCCCCCCCTCCCCCTCCTCTTCCCCCCCCCCCCCCCCCCCGCCTCCCCTCCCCCCCGTTTCCCTCCACGTGCAGATAAGCAAAGCGGCGTCTCTAGCGCCAGGCAGTCGCCAACTGGCTGCGTCTATCGCCCGTTCGCCCGTCACGGCGCGCACTCGGCGGTCGCTGCGGGTGCGCGCGGAGGCGAAGGACATTCTGTTCGACCAGGCGGCGCGGTCCGCCATGCAGTCCGGCATTGACAAGCTCGCGGACGCCGTGGGAGTCACGCTCGGCCCGCGAGGTACGCTGATAAGCTCGCTCCTCGGCTCGCGAAGCACAACTTGCCTGTGTCACGGCCGCCATGCTCGCCAGCACTAGGAGCTCACCAGTTGTGTCGGGTCACGAACTGAGCACGGCGAGTCGTCGGTCGTGTTGTCGGCCGACGTTCCCATCAGCCGCTCCGTTGTACAATCAGCCTACATATCGTACGATCAGCGAATCTACCGTACGATCAGCCAATCTCCCTTATTATAAGCCAATCCATCGTACGATGAGCCATTATACTGTACGATCAGTTAATCTGCTGTACGATCTGTCAACATATCGTACGATAGCTTGTACGACCAGGATTTCTCGTACAATCAGGAATTTCTCGTACGATCAGAAATCTCTCGATCGACCAAGAATCTCTCGTATGACCAGGGATCTCTCGCACGACCAGGATTGTGTCATGTGATCAGCAATCGTCGTCCGATCAGCAATCGTTTCACACGAAACAGTTGGTGGCATCATCGCCCAAGTGTCACACCATCCATTCTGTCAGCCGCCAGTATTGGCAGCGCGTGAGTTGAGGCAATGAGAGTGTTCTCCTGGTGCGGGGCGCAGGTCGCAATGTGGTGCTGGACGAGTTCGGCGCGCCCAAAGTGATCAACGACGGCGTCACCATCGCCAGGGCCATCGAGCTGCCCGACCCCATGGAGAACGCCGGCGCCGCCCTCATCCGCGAGGTGAGAGATGCCTGGAGATAGCAGGTTTAGGGTAAAGGATAAAGCAACCAGGGTTCTGGGGATTGTATTTCAGCATTCTTCCCCTAGCCAGCCGTGCAGCCTTGCAGCATATTGCCGCTCGAATTGCACGCCCATCACACACCCCGCTAAAACATCCCCCGTTACTATCACATCCGCCCGCCAGGTGGCGTCGCGCACGAACGACTCGGCGGGCGACGGCACGACGACGGCGAGCGTGTTGGCGCGCGCGCTGATCAACCTGGGGCTGCTCAACGTTACGGCGGGCGCCAACCCCGTGGCGCTCAAGAAGGGCATTGACAAGACCGTTGCGCACCTCGTCGAGTCGCTCAAGGATCGCGCGCGCCCCGTCAAGGGCCGCGACGATATTAAGGGTGCGTGCGGCGGGCGCGGTTGCAGGAAAACCCTAGACTTGGGGCTCTGGCGATGCCTTTCTGAAAGCACGAGTCTCGAATCTGGCTGATCAGCTCTCACGCGCCGTGCGTGTGGCAGTCTGCGAGACTCGCCGCTCTCGAAGCATCCCAATCTCACTTCATCTCTCGCACCCTCTCCCTCCCCGTTCCCCACCTTCACCCATCTGTCACCGTGCGCGTGCCGTACCCTCCCCCTTGGGCGAGCAGCGGTGGCGACGATCAGCGCGGGCAACGACGACGAGATCGGCGAGATGATCGCAGACGCGGTGGACAAGGTGGGCGCGGACGGCGTGCTCTCCATCGAAAGCTCCTCGTCCTTCGAAACCACCGTCGACGTCGAGGAAGGCATGGCGGTGAGTTGCGCTTCTTCCCCGTCCGCTTGCTTCTTGCCCGTGTGCCCGCTCCGCGGTTCCTACTTAGCACATTCGCTCCCCACGGGTCCCACCTTCCGCCCGCTTCACATGCCGTCCTACCTACTCATCCCCACTCGCCCGGTTTGCTCCCCAACCCCTCCGCGCCCTTCCCTCTCTCCGGGTGCGCAGATCGACCGCGGTTACATTTCGCCACAGTTCGCGACGAACACGGAGAAGATGCTCGTCGAGTTCGACAACGCGCGCGTGCTCGTGACGGACCAGAAGGTCAGTACGCCTGCTGTTGGATTGGTTCGTATTGCCGGTTTAAGCAGAATGTTGGAATCGTGAGACTGAAAGAACACAATAAGCACTAGCCGGAGTCTACTGGTGACTAAGAATCTCCCTCCCACACCATGTAGCCCGCCTTCCCCGTCGCGCTTGTGCTCCGCAGTCCCCATGACTTTAACGCGCTCTTCGCCACTCACACGCTCAGCGCCCAGTTGCACTATCGACTGTTCGCTGACGCACTCACTCCCCGCTCCCCACCTCCCTCCCCCCCCTCCCTCTCCCCCTCGGGCGCACGCGCGGCGCAGATCACGGCGATCAAGGACATCATCCCCGTGCTGGAGCGCACGTCGCAGCTGTCGGCGCCGCTGCTGATCATCGCGGAGGACGTGTCGGGCGAGGCGCTGGCGACGCTGGTGGTGAACAAGCTGCGCGGCGTGCTGCAGGTCGCCGCCATCAAGGCGCCCGGCTTCGGTGAACGCCGCAAGGCGCTGCTGCAGGACATCGCCATCGTCACAGGTGGGGGGTGGGGGAGGGCAGGGCATGGGCTGGTTGAAGAAGGAAAATAAGAGATGAACCAAATGTGTGTATGCATATGCAAGAGCGTGTTCGCATGTGTGTGTGTGTGTGTGTGTGTGTGTTCGTATGTGTGTGTGTGAGTGAGTGTGTGGGTGATTGCGTGGGTGTGCTTGTGTGTGTGCGCGCGTGCTCGCCCATGTGTGTGTGTGTGTGTGTGTGTGTGTGTCTGCACGGGTGTGTGCGTGTGCTCACCTGGCGCCCCATCCCTCCGCTCCCTCATCCACTCTTCCCCTCCCTTCAGGGGCGGAGTTCATGGCGTCTGATCTGGGGCTCAAGGTGGAGGGGGCGACGGCGGACCAGCTGGGAGTGGCGAGGAAAGTGACCATCAGCAGCAGCAGCACAACGCTCATTGCTGACAGCGCCACCAAGGACGAGATCGCGGCCCGCGTGGCGCAGATCAAGCGCGAGCTGCAGGAGACGGACAGCGTCTACGACACGGAGAAGCTCTCGGAGCGCATTGCCAAGCTCGCTGGGGGCGTGGCTGTCATCAAGGTCCGAGCCATGCCTGCTGCCTGCTGCTTGCTGGGTGCTGGGTGCTGTGGCGGGGTTGGGGATATATAGCTCGTGAGAACTGCAGGAACACGCGCTCCACTTCTGGGCACACCAGTTGCCACTCACACGGCATGCCATGCGCTCACCCCCCTTGTGTGGCATGGCAGGTGGGGGCGGCAACGGAGACGGAGTTGGAGGACCGCAAGCTGCGCATTGAGGACGCCAAGAACGCCACCTTCGCCGCCATCGAGGAGGGCATCGTGCCGGGCGGTGGCGCCACCATGGTGCACCTGGCAGCGCTGGTGCCGGCCTTCAAGGCGCAGCTCACGGACGCGGAGGAGCGCATCGGAGCCGACATCGTGGAGCGCGCCCTGCTGGCACCGTGCTCACTGATTGCCCACAACGCGGGTGTGGAGGGCGCGGTGGTGGTGGAGCGCGTGAGGGAGAGCGAGTGGGAGATGGGGTACAACGCCATGGCCGACCAGTATGAAGACCTCCTCGCCTCCGGTCCGTGCTCCTCTCCCTGCTCACCCCTTACCCCGCGCCACTCCCTGCTCGTGCTGTGCCACTAGGAGCTTGCCCCATGCCGCTCCGTGCTTGTTAGCTCTGTTGTGTTGTGTTGTGTTGTGTTGTGTTGTGTTGTGTTGTGTTGTGTTGTGTTGTCTGCACTTCCATGAGCACCTGCGCTGCTCGTCACTCATCTGCCCTCCACACTCCCTCCCCTCCCATGCGTGCAGGAGTGATCGACCCCGCCAAGGTGACGCGGTGTGCGCTGCAGAACGCGGCATCGGTGGCGGGCATGGTGCTGACGACACAGGCCATCGTGGTGGAGAAGCCCAAGAACAGCAGCGGCGCCGCCAACACCCCCTACTCGCCACAAGTGCCCCTCACGCTCTAGGCCATTCAACCAGCAGAGAACACAGCTTGAGGGGTTTAGAACCGGGAACAGTGTCCATGTAATGTAGCAGGTTGACATTCTGATGTTGCCCTTCATCAGTATTAAAACACAAGTGGATGAACCACACAACCTGACTACAATGTGTGCAGCTGGGTAGACCTCAACTGCCAAAGCTGGAAGAGAACTGCATGGCAATGTACAATGCAGCAGAGTGTGCCTGTGGTGGGTGGGCCACTTCAGGGCATTCTGGAACGTCCACTGAACACGACCGGAGTGAAATCTTGGAAGGCGTTGCTTTCAAAATGGCAGAGCAGAGGTTAGGAGACACAGCCTCGAGTGAAATCTTGGGAAAAAAGGTCAGTGGTGAAGCGCTGCCTAATCTGGTGAAGCGCCTCAGCATCTGGTAAATGGCGTCGCGTCAATCATAATCAGATTAGAGGTCAAGATTGGCACGGCAATACAACAAAAATCTCGCGCCAGCAAGGGGTCGAACCTTGGACCTCTCGCTTAGGAAGCGAACACTCTATCCACTGAGTTACAGGCGCTGCTGCCTTCTCGACCCGTATTTTATAGATATGCATAACTGAATCCTGACAAGCATTCTTTCGCCTTGTTTCATCGTATGGCGGATCAGACGCGTAGCAGCGATGCTTCTGTGGCGGCAGGCGAGCGGATGCTGAAGCGCTGCCTGCGATGGAGTTGAGTGTCGCCGCTCAGCCGCCCCTGCGCCTTGACCCTTGCCACCTTGTGGCGCTCTTGCCCTCGCCCTGTCACCCTTTGCACTGCCGCCTTCTGTCCCATCGCCCGCCCTTCCTCCGACCTCCCGTTCGTCCCGCTCCCTGCAGCCTCTCACCCCATCTCCACATGCACATGCCCTCGCGCACGCGCCACTCGCTTTCCTCTCAACAAACGCACTTCGAGTCCCTCTCATCCCGACCGCGCCCACTGTCGTTTCCCCGCGCCCCATCGTCCAGATCCGACGGTCCGATTCCTCCGCGAGTCGCTGGAGCGCGCCGGGTGCGCCGTGAGCGATGAGTTCTTTTCCGCGCGCCGATGCGACGAGCAGGCGGGCGGAGGCTTCATGCCCGGCGAGGGGGTGAGCGCTGGGAGGGAGTGGGGAGGGGGAAGAGGGAAGAGGGGAAATGGGATGAAGGGGGAGAGCAAGGATCGAAGGTCTGGGGGGATGGGTAAAGGCGAGAATGATGACTTGTGTCAGCATAGGGGCAAGGTTGACGTTAGATGAGCCACCGTGCCGCTTGTTGCCATGCTGTGTCACTATGCCAGCCCATGCCATGCCTGCTCATGTGTTCCTGTGTGACGACCAATGCCACACCTGCGTGTGCGCGGCGTGGGTGCATGGGTGCATGCGGGTGCGGGGAACGGCAGGTGGTGGTGTGTGCGAACCACGTGGGGGGGCAGGACGAGGTGGACGTGGTGGTGGCGCACGAGCTCGTGCACGCCCTCGACCACTGCCGCGCTGCCAACCTGCACTGGCCTGATCTCCAACACCACGCCTGCAGCGAGGTGCTCCCCTGCTCGCTGCCTCGTTACTTGCCTGCCATGCACATGTTTGTGCCGTGCTGTCATCCTGCCATGCATGCCCATATCGTCCTACCCTGCATGCCCATATCGTCCTGCCATGCATGCCTGCCCCGGTGCTGCCGTGCATGCCCATATGGAGCATCAGATCCGAGCGGCCAACCTGAGTGGGGCGTGCCACATGCACCGCGAGTTCAACACGAGGGGGTCTGACTTTGTCTTCCGCAACGGCCACCCGGTGAGCCACACCTGCCACCCGGTGAGCCACACCTGCCACCCGGTGAGCCACACCTGCCACCCGGTGAGCCACACCTGCCACGCGCGGGTGCTTCTGGTCGAAAGGCCAGGGTGGTGGGCGGCAGTGAGGCAAGGGGCGGTGAGGCGAGGGAGGGTTGCAGCCACCTGATTGCTCTCTCGCACCTCATGCCTGCTCCCTCAATCTCCCATGTGGGCCGTCAAGCGTTAACTGTCTCGTCTTTTCTCTCTCTCTGTTGGCTCTCCCCCTCTCTTGCTGCTGCAAGCAGCAGTGTGTGCGGCGCAAGGCGCAGCTGTCCGTCGCCATGAACCCCTTCTGCTCCGATGCTGGGCCCCCCTCTGCCGCTACCACTGCCGCCACCATTGCCAACGGCAGCAGCGCCAATGGAAGCGGCAGTGGCAGCGAGGCGTCTAGCAGCAGCAGTGCGGCGTGCATGGCTCGGGCGCGGGCGGCAGTGGATGCGGTGTGGGACGTGTGCTACCAGGACACCACTCCCTTCGACCGCATCCCATGATGCTCTCCTCATAGGCTTCACTTATTGACAAGTGTTTGTTGCACGCTGCATTATATTCATTGTACGGTATGCTTTACTGATCTACTTACCAAGTCGTTTGCTCATGTTTATTTTTAACTAGGCTAGCCAGTTAGTTACCTTTTAGATATACCGGTAGTTAGTGTATTATGATTTCAATAGACTAGAGATGTTAGAGCGGCTTGTTGCGACTGAACCTGCTCCGACAAACATGTCCCTGCTCCAATTGACCATATCTGATGCTGCTGCTATGCATGGTGCCCTGCCTGCCGCAAGCTGCTGCTGGCTCCGATGCACCCGTGCATATGGCTTCCTTGCATCTGTTACTGTTCTAATCAACAATGTACAGCCACAATAGCGGACCCAAGAGGGCTTTATTGGAAATAATACATACGGTAGTGGTTACTAGGCAGGCATGCAGAGAGCATCAGGAGGGTGCAGCGAGGGGGGGTTGGGGGGGCGCGAGGCGCAGCGAGCGCAGCCAGTCGGTGAAGCCGGGCTCGGGGGTGGGCAGCAGCTTGGCCCGCACGGCTGCCCGCTCCTCCTCCTGCATCTCCCTCAGCGGTGGGAAGAGCAGCTCCTGGCGGGCAGGGAGGGGAGGAACGCAGGTAGCAGTGGGGGTGGAGTGGTGGGGATCGTGAGACGCAGTGAGGAGGTGGACAGGAGCAGAGCAGAGGCAACAGCACTGCAGAGTCGGATGCTCCCTCCCTACATTGTCATTGTCATCACCCACACCTCTCTTGGCTGCTCAGCTACTCACCTGACCAATGACTGATGAGGGAAAATCACCCAAACAATAACCTGCACGGAATGCATGCACACCTGAACAGCGAGGGGGTCCTTGTGTGTGGGCGTGAGGCGCGCCGTCATGAAGGCCGCTTCCGCCGTGCCCTCCTGCCATGCCGTCATGGGGAGGGCGGGCACAGGGCGGGGTGAGCGGGGAGTGCAGGTCGAGGATGCGGGCTAGAAGTTAAAGCACACGAGGGAGCGCAGGGGGGAGCACACGAAGGAGCACACCCAGATAGATCACCTCCCAGCACCCCCTCCTAACCCATTCCCCCCTTTGGCACTGACAGTGAAGCAGAGTACGCGTGGTGCCGGGAACCTGCCTCTGCCGCCCGGCCCGCCCATGAGCTGCGCTGCCAGCTGGCGACACGCCGCCTCCACTCCGCGCCTCGTGGGCTCGTCCGGCGCCAGGTGCGCTCCCTGGGGGGAGAGAGGGAGGGGGGGGTGGGGGGGCATGGTGCAGATGGCGCAATGGTGTGGGGTTGAGGAAGAAGGGCGGTGGCAGTCAGAGGTTGTGCGTGTGGGTGGAGGGAAGGAGACAAGGGGGAAGTGGCACTCATGACGGGCGGCGGCACTCATGACGGGCGGTGGCGCTCATGACGGGCGGTGGCACTCATGATGGGCGGCGGCACTCATGATGGGCGGCGGCACTCATCATGGGCGGCGGCACTCATGATGGGCGGCGGCACTCATGATGGGCGGGGGCACTCACGAGCCAGATGAGCATGTCGGTGCCGTGGTCCAGCACCAGGGCGGCATCTGACGTCAGCGCCAGGTCAGAGGGCGGTACTTCAACGAACTGGGTGGCGTGGCCGGCGCGGAACATGAGCAGCGAGGGCAGCACCATGCGCAGCGCCGCCTCCCCCCCTGCGCGCAGCAGCAGTGCGCGCAGGGCCTGGCGCTCCCACTCGCCCGCCACGTGGCGCCCCAACACCGGGCTGCGCCTCACCTCGTACAGCGCCTCCGCTACCCTGCACACGGGGGTGGGGTGGTGGAGAAGTGCGGAGTGGAGGGGGGAGGTGAGATGTGCAATGGAAGGCCAAGGCAGGTGGGGCTTCTGCTGTGCACTGCTCGCCCATTAGCCCAGCAACTAAACACCCTCCCCTTGCTTCCTCGCTCCTCTCCTTACCTCCCACCTGCCCCCCTGCATTTGTGCCAATCGCACACCCTCCCCTCCCCTCCCCCACCTGCCCGTGACCCCTCCCCCCCTCAACTCACCGCGGCAGCTGGTGGGGGAACTGCAGCAGGGAGCGGTTGTGCTGTGCCACGCCGCCCAGCTTGAGCGCCAAGTCACGTGCACGGGCGTCCACCCACGCGCGCATCTCCCCCGCCTCGCGAGCCGTGGGCGCCGCCAGCACGGTACGCTTGGCGATGAGCAGCGCTGCTGTGGGCTCGTGCACCGATGAGAGGTACGCCGGTAGCGATGCCGCCACTGGTAGACGCACCGTCACCACCCGCGTCACCACTGCATGGAAGGGGAGGGGGGGTTGCGGGGTGATGGGGGTGTGTGCGTGCGTATGTGCATGAGCGCGAATGCATGTGGGCGTTGAGTGGCTGGGTGGGCGCGTGGCAGATAGAGAGGAAGGAGCAGAGCAGTGCAGTGCGGCTCAGATGAGCACGTGGCCGTGACAACGAGCAGCAGGGTGGTGGCAAGGAGTGGTGGGCGCACCCTCAGGCTGGCACAGGCAGCACTCACGGTCATGGTTGAGGAGGCGGAAGCGGCAGAGGAACTGGAAGAACACGTGGTGGCGGGTGAGGTCGTCTGTCAGCTCCATGCTCACCGCCACCGCTGCCTCCTCGTCCACACTCAGCAGCGCCACCGCCGTCGCACTGTCCTCCGGGAACCCCTCCTCCCCGCCCGCCCCCCTGCGCCCGCCGCCCTCCTCCGCCTCTGCGGGGCCGATCACGCGCGTCACAGCCACCTCGGGCGAGCAGCGCACCTCCAGCGACCCCTCCGCGCCCACGATGCGCGAGAGGGCGCGCAGCAGCAGCGGGGGGAACGCGGCGGGGCTGAACTCGTCCAGCGGCACCAGCGCGCCCCCTGACAGCGCCGCCAGGGGCAGCAGTGCGGGCACGCGCACCAGTAGTGGGCCCCCCGAGAACACGTCCACCACGGCGCCCATGCGCCGCGCCTCCCTGCCCAGCGCCTCGTAGTGCCGCCTCGCCGCCTGCTCGCGCTGCCGCTCCTCGCCCTCCCCCACGCCCTCTATGCCCTCCGCCACCGCCCCCGCGCCCACCGTGGCCGGCCCCCCGCACAGCACCACCACGCGCGCCGCCCCGCTCCACCGCCGCTGCGAGGCACGCGGCAGGGCGGGCGCGGGGCCGCGCAGCAGCGCGAGCGCGAGGTCCACGGCGGGACCCAGGGCGCGCGCGCGGGCGAGGGGGGGCGTGGCGGCGCGGCAGGGGCGCAGCGAGGCGATGACGGCCTGCGCGGAGGGCAGGCAGGCCGCGATGGGCGCCAGGTGCTGCGCGCGGCCCAGCAGCAGCGCGGCCAGCGTGGCGGCGGGCAGCGCGTGTGTGGCGGGGAAGCAGTCGGCGGAGGCGAGCAGCGGCGAGGCGGAGGGCGAGAGGTCGAAGAGCGAGAGGGCCGCGCCAAAGGTGATGATGGCGATGCGCGTGGCGGACGGCAGGTGCTGCAGCATCGCCTGCCATGGGGCGGCATGGGGGTGTTGGGGGAGGCATGGGGAAGGAAGAAGTGAGGGGGGGGACGAGGAGGCAATGAGGATGGGTTGTTGTCTGCAGTCACAGTGAGCCGCCATTGAATCATCGTGACCCGTCCTGTGCTGTGTGCCATGCACTCACCGTGAGCGCGGCTCTGACTCCCCCCATGCACGCGGCGTCCAGCCCCTCGTCCACCACCACCACTACCGGCGCCCCCAGCACCGCCTCCGACGCGCCCCCCCCCACTCCCCCCTCCCCCGCCCCGCGCGCCCCCCCGCCCGCCTCAACGTAGTCCACCACGCGCGCGCCCAGCTCCGGCCACCCCTCGAGCGTCTCCCCCTCCGCCAGCAGGTAGTGCCCGCCGCTCATGTTGGGGCGCCCGCACAGCGCGCAGCGCCAGTCGCCCGTGGCGGGCGCGATGGCGGAGTAGAGGCACACGCACGCCCCGCAGAAGGCGCAGCGCAGCGGCGCATGGCGCACCACAGGGGGCGGTTGGGAGGAAGCGGGAGCGGCGGAGGTGGGGGAGGGGAGGGTGGAAGCGGAGGGTGAGAGGAGCGGGGAAGCGGCGGAGGCGGGGAGCGGAGGGGTGGGCGCGAAGAGCGCGCCGAAGCCGAGGCTCTGCACGTTGGCGATCTTGCGCTCCCGCGGCACCTGCGGGGGCACGTGCGCGCGGGGGGAACACATGGGAAGCGCGGGGGGAACACATGGGAAGCGCGGGGGGAACACATGGGAAGCGCGGGGGGAACACATGGGAAGCGCGGGGGGAACACATGGGAAGCGCGGGGGGAACACATGGGAAGCGCGGGGGGAACACATGGAAGGGGCGGGGGGGAACCTGAGAGGCGGCGAGGGCATGTGAAGGAGAGGGCGAGGGAAAGACGGCGAAGGTGAGACGAGAGGGGGACGCTGGGACAAGCGCGCGTGGAGGGGGGCTGTGCGGAGCAGCGAGCGCCCTGCGGCATGCCCAGCACCCGCCCTGTCATGCACTGCGTCGCTCCCCGCCCACCAGGGGCGTGCGGCGTACCGAGGAGGCGGTGAATCGCAGGTAGGGGTCGGACGCGAGATGGCCCCATTGCTCGTCGTGTGACAGATCGCAGCCGTACATCAGCGCCGCCATGTTAGCGCTGGCCAATGGCCAAGGGCAAGACAAACGCGTTAAAAAATAAATACATCTACAAAGCCTTTGTTCCTATCGTATTCACGGGGGTGTAGCTCATATGGTAGAGCGATCGCTTTGCATGCGATAGGTACGGGGATCGATACCCCGCGTCTCCAAGCTATGTCTTGGTTGTCCCGAAAGAATTATTTTTCCTTTTTGGGGAGGGGGTATGTTTGTGTGACGGCATGATAGGTTGACTGTTCAATTCAAGCATTGCAAAATCATCTCCGCGGGCTGTTGGTCCCGTGCCTCCACTCCCCGCCATGGCTGGCGTGCAAGCCCTCCTCGCTCGCCGTCCCGCCTTTCTGCTCGGCGCGCCACCGCCTGACTCCGCCGCCCGCGGGCTTCTCTCCGGCGCAGGCCGCGCCATCCCGCGCCCGCACGGTCCTTTCTCGGATAGGCGGGGGTTTAGGCGGGCTTACGTCGGCATTAGCAGCAAAGGAGAGAATCGAGTATTTTGCGCGTATAGCGGCGATGGCGGGGCGACGAGTAGAGCAGAGGACGGATCGATAGAGCCAGACATTGAGAGGAACTGGGTGCGGCAAAGCGCGAGTGGCGTTTCACCATCACGCTCACAGGCGCAGGAGCAGTGCGAGTCGCCCGCTCCCCATGGCCCGCCATCTCCGCCTGCTGCTTCCCACAACGTCCTTGTCCCGCGGGCCCTTGCCCCCCCCCTCGCATCCGCGGCTCTCGCTCTCCTCCTCGCCCTCGCGCCCTTCGCGACTCGCCCGCCGGCCCTCGCGCAAGCACCCCCCGCGGGGACTGCGGCGACTGTGGCGGAGACGAGTAGCGGGAGGCGCGAGGCACGAAGCAAGGCTGCGGGGCGGCGGAAGGAAAAGCGCGCGGAGGGTGGAACATCCTCAGCGCGGGGGAGCAAGAGTGCTGTGGGGGGGTGGGAAGCAGCAGGAGGCGGACAAGCGGGGGACGTGGGGACGTTGGGGGAGGCAGACGCGGGGAGCCGGCGGGCGGAGGAGAGGCTGGAGGCATTCCAGAGGACAGCGGCGGCTGCGGTGACGGCGGAGGAGGTGGGCGCGGTTGAGCGCGCGTACCAGGCGGAGTGGGCGCGGAGCATGCGGGAGAGCGAGGCGCGGCAGGCGCGGCTGCTGGACGAGCTGGTGGGCGCGCGCATGGCGCTGGCGGAGAGAGAAGAAGCGCTGGAGCGCGCGCGGGAGAGAGTCGCGGAAGGGGAAGCGGCGGAGAGCAAGGGGCGGGAGGAGGAAGGCGGGGAAGAGGCAGGGAAGAGCGAAGAAGGGGCGGCAGGTAAGGGGAGTCGGGCAGGGGGCAAGGCGAAGGGGAGGAAGGGGAAGGGTGCGGCAGGGGCAGGGGGAGACGAAGGGGCGGGCAGTGTGCGCGCGTGCAGGCGGGCCGTGGAGGCGGCGCAGCGGCGCGCTGACGAGGCGGCGGCGGCAGTGGTGGCAGCGGGGCAGCAGGCGGAGGGGCGGCTGGCGCGCATGTGGGAGGCACTGGGGGAGGCGAAGAGGAGGGTGCATGGGGAGGTGGCAGGGGGCGCGAGCGCGGACGGGGAGGGCGGCGAGGGGGAAGCGGGGAAGGGAGTGGCGGCGATGGGGGGTGCGATGGCGGTGGCGGGCAGGGACGTGCGCGAGTGCCTTGACCACCCCGGCCGGGTGCCTGCTGTGCTGCTCCGATCGCTCAGACGTGCCGTGGGGGGCGGAGACCCTGCCGCCCCCACTGCCGCTGCTGCTGGTGGTGATGCAGGGCAGGGGGCGGAGCAGGCAAGGCCAGAAGGGGCAGCGGGCCTGAAGGCACTGAGTGCAGCGGAGGAGGCAGCAGCGGATGCTCAGGTGCTGGCGTGGCACAAGTGGGCGGCGGAACAACGGGCAGCGGCAAAGAAGCAGATTGTGAGCAGCCGAGGCAAGGCCAAGGCGTTTGCAGCTGAGAAGCAGGTCCGTGCCGCCCGCTACTCCCTGCTTGTTGCTGCTTTGTTGCTCCTGAATGCTGCATGGGCGGATAGCTGCATGCACGCCCTCTCGCAAATCTTCCTTTCTCATTTTCTCCCTGCCGTGCGCCCAATACCGTGCTTCCCCATGCGCGTCACCCGGCATGCAGGCGGAGGTGCTGGCAGCGCGCGACCGGGTGATGGGGGAGGCCACGCTCAACACGGGCGTCACCTCGCCACTGCTGGGGGGTGGCCCCGAGGGGCGGTGGGAGCTGACAGCAGCGGGGCTGTGGGAGGCGCTCTCGCACTCGCTGCTCTCCTCCGTGTCGCTGCGCCACGACCGCCGTGCCGCCCTGCTGCGCCTCAAGGCCGACCCGCGCCTCTTCTTTGTCGACCTATCCGCGTGGGACAGCTGGCGCCACGCCACTGGCGGCACCGACGAGCTGCTGCTGCGCCTGCGGGCGGCGGGCGTGCCGACGCGGGTGGAGGTGATGTGGGTGCCAGTGAGGGAGTGGGACCCCGCCTCGCTCTACGCGCTGCCGGCGCGTGTGGTGGGGCACGCGGCGCACTCGCTGTCGTCAGCGGGGCCGGTGCAGGTGGCGCTGCAGTGGTACGTGGGCACGGCGGGCGAGGCAGCAGAGGAGACGTTCTTCCGCTTCGTGTGGCCCGCCATGCCACGCGCGCTCAAGGCGCTGCTCAAGCTCGACTACTCGGAGGGCGCGGCGGCAGGCGACGTGGTGGCACTGGAGCGCATGGGGTGGCTGGCGGCCGCTGAGAGGCGCTTCGCGAAGCGCAGCAGCATGGCGGGCAGGTGGGCGTGGTGGCTGGTGCTGCCCGCCAAGGCCGCTGTGGCGCTCTTCCCCCTGCGCTGGGCCGCCCTCCCCGCTGCTGCCCTGGCGCAGCGCCTGCTGGTGGGCGCGCCGGGGCCGGAGAGCGAGACGGCGTACAAGACGCGGCTGGGGAAGGAGCTGCTGCGGCGCGTGGGCAAGCAGGAGGAGGACGAGGAGAAGGCGAAGAAGGAGAAGAAGGTCAAGGACTCCATCCGAGAGGCCTTCGACCGCATGAAGGTACCCCCTGCCCCGCACCTCCACTGCCCCCCCCTCACCTTGCTCCGTGCAATGCCAGCCCTCTTTTGCGTCTTTCCCCACACCCCCTCTTCAAACTGCCATTTCCTTTTCATGTGTTCATCTCTCACCTTCATCCCATCCCATCTGTTCCTTTCCGCTCCCTCCCTCCCACGGTGCGTGTGGGCAGCGAGTGCGGAGGCCGGCGGTGCGGCTGAGCGATTTCGCGGGGATGGACGCGGTGAAGGAGGAGGTGCAAGAGGTGATCACCTTCCTGCGCGACCCCTCCTCCTTCCAACGCCTCGGCGCCCGCCCGCCCCGGGTGAGCCACGCCCTGTCTTGCTGCCTTGTGCCGTACACACCCTGCTTGCCTCTCTTCCTCTCACCTTTGTCTTCCCTCCTGCTGCTGCCACCCCACCATACGTGCACGTCAGGGCGTGCTGATAACGGGGGGGTCGGGCGTGGGCAAGAGCAGTTTGGCGCTGGCGATAGCAGCAGAGGCGAGGGTGCCGGTGGTGGACATCAAGTCCAGCGATGTGGACCCGGGGGGGTTCGTGGGGCAGGGCGCTGCCAACGTGCGCGAGCTCTTCAAGATGGCGCGCGAGATGGTGAGGGGGTCAGGTGGTCAGGTGGTGAGGTGGTGAGGTGGTGATGTGGTTATGGTGAGGTGGTGAGGTGGTGAGGTGGTGAGGTGGTGAGGTGGTGAGGTGGTGAGGTGGTTATGGTGAGGTGGTGAGGTGGTGAGGTGGTCAAGATGGCATGGGAGATGGTGAGATGGTTTGATGCTGAGATGGTGAGGTGGTCAAGATTACACGCACTGCCAGGCGCCCATGCTCATTCTCATCGCCCCACTGCCACTGCCACTGGCAGGCGCCCATGCTGATCCTGATGGAGGACTTTGAGGAGATAGGCGGGGTGCGCGGGGCGGCCATGGACACGCGCCTGCAGGACAAGGAGGCCATCATCAACCAGCTGCTCGTTGAACTCGACGGGTCCGCCTCCCCCCCTCCCCCCCTCCTGCGCTCGCCGCTTCCCTCGCCTTCGCCTCTCTGCGCCCATAACCTCATGCGAATTGCCCTCGCATTCACTTGCTGTCCAATGCACCCTACTTACTATCCTCCCCTTGCTTCGCTCCCCTCTGCCCCATGTTGTCATTCGAGCCTCGCCTTAGACCGCTCTCACGCCTCCTGCTCGTTTTTCTTCTCCCCGTGCTTGTTTGCAGGTTTGAGACACAGGAGGGCGTGGTGCTGCTGGCAATAACTGACAATCCAGCTGCTGTGAGTGTATCAGTGGAAGGTAGCAGCCGAGAGTGTAGCAGAGCACGGGAGAAGCTGTGAGTGCCAGTGGAGGACGGGAGGGCCACACGAGGGCAGTGAGTGTGGCCCGTGGCAACATGGGGCGCACATGGCACATGCATGTTCCCTGCGCTCGCCTTCTCCCAACAGCCAAGACTGCCCCTGTCGGCTCACCCATCCCGCCCTCCCCCGTGCCCCCTTTCCCCCCACTCTCCTCTCCCCTCCCCCCCCAGGTGGACCCAGCGCTGCGGAGGCCGGGGCGCATGGACCGAGTGATCGAGGTGCCGCTGCCCACGGCGGGCGAGAGGGAGAAGATTCTGCGCCGCGCCGCCGCCGCCTCCATGGACCAGCGATTCGTTGATGCCGTTGACTGGCGCTTCGTGAGGCCCCCTCCTTGCCCTGCCATGCTGTGCCATCCATGCCATCTAATGCCATGCCATGCCATCTAATGCCATGCCATGCCATGTCATTCCATGCCTCTACTTGCTTATAGCTCAGAGCTTATGCCATAATATCACATAGCATCATACCATATCAAAGCATGGGATGCCATACTTCATGACGGTGACATACCACACCATGCCATGTAATGCCATGTCATTCCACCCAAGGCCATGTCATCCCACTGATGCGACCGCATGCACGGCACGCATGGCAT